TAAAGCCTTTTTTAGATCTCTTCTCAAGACTATTAAGTTATCGAAATAACTCTATAAGATTATAAAAGTTAAGAATAAACTCTTTATCTAGAATCTCTATATTCTTTATTATAAAGAATATTAAGTTAAGTGATTTAATAGTTTATAAGAATTTATAAATAAAAGAATATTTTATAACGATAAATATATCTAGATAGTTTATTTTATTATAAACTTTAAGCTATTTATCTAGCTAATTATTAATTTATTAATAAGACTTTAAAGTCTTAATCACTTCCTTTTATTTAGTTAATATATCTAGTTCTCTAAACCTATTTATAAGAGCGAACCTTTATTAAAGCCTTTATAATATTATATATAAAGAAGATTAACTCTTTAGAAATAAAAAAAGATTAATTAAAATGCTTACTATTATTTAAGTGCTTAAAGTGATTATATCCTTTATTTTTATTTTATATTGTCGAAAATCTATCTTCTATTCTCTCTATATATAGCGAAGATCTTCTCGTTCTATTAAAGTGAGTTCTAAGAGAAGAGTTATTCCTAGTTTAATATTGTCAAGGGTTGATTTTCTCGGATACTTAAGAGTTAAAGGCTTCTATATATTGAGGTCGATATACTACTATATTTATTTTTGTCTAGCATAAAGTTCGATGGTAATGAACCAATTATCCTAATCCGATATCTTAGAAAGCCTAACATTAATTAATTTCGTTAGTTGAGACTTTAGATCTAGTTCCGATATATTGAGGTTACTGAGATTAATATATAGTAAAATATATAATTTACTAAGTGAATAGTTAAGTATATATAACGCGCAGGTAATCTGATATGTCTAATTGATTAGCCTTATTATAATAAGACTTTATAATCATTTAGTGTTGATAGATTTTTTAGCGAAGACAGTAACCAAGCTCATAACTAATATACAACACTTAAATAATAGAAGTTAGATATAATATATTGTCGAGTTTGACCTCGATGTCTAGGAGGTCGAGGACTATGATATATATAGGTAAAAGGAGCGACTATTCTCTGTCCGATTGAGGCCTTTCTCTCCACCGTATCATGGGTCGCAAGTCGGTCTTTCCTCGTGAACTGCAATAGTTGAGACAAGCGCTCCGATAATCGTCAGTAGAACGGCCTATATATTGCTGTCAAAGTGATATAGTTCAATGAGTGAATCGATAGTTGTGAAAAGAGTGAGTTGAGTGCTGAAAAATGAGCGTTCTAGGCGGCGGAGTTCCTCGGAGGCGTTTCGGCTTGAGTATAGAGGTTGTAATGACGTCGTCACAACTCAGCCTGTTCAACACATCTCTTCTCAGGGCTATGGCAACACCCAAGACGTTCAAGTCCGCCGTATCCTGTGTCTCCTGGGAGGAAAACCTTTCCCTAAACAATGTACCACGCTTCACACCTGCTACGGTCAAAATGTGACTCCCCGATTTCAACGCGACCGTGACAACCTACTACTCGATGATCTATCTACCTCCTAAGGTTTAAGGCGAAAAGGCCGGGAATACTCAATTCACCTTTTCCGACTACCTCTAGGCAGAGGATTTTGGTGGCTTCTCTGGTACATTGATTACGCAGGGACGAGGAACTTTTGAAGCTAGTAGTTTCCGTGTTGAAGGCCATTTTGAGATTATGCTATCTGCTGGGACCGGTACCCTGGGACAATTGTTCACACTAGGCGGATCTGGGAGTTTTGGGGCAGATAAAAAAACCAAAAGAAGGTTGCTTATGAGTTTTATACTGTTGAATAACACCTCTACTTTTGTATCTAGTATGTTCTGAAGTGTCTACGCCTAGATCAACAGTCCAGGTCTGGAAAATTGCCCAACAAGAGAGTAGATATAACGATATAGTATGATCAATCCAATAATTGCTAGTAATGGTTTGTAGATTTTGTTCGCGGATCTTACTATACACATTATCGCGGGCTCTACCCTCCACTATGTAGACAAGCATTTAGGCCCCAGACCTATAGCAGGCGAACGTCAAGTGAAACCTAGGAAGTATTGGTTATGGAACTCAGGCTGAGTTCCGTCACGTGCACTAACAAAATTAGGGTTGTTCATGCAAAGTTCCTTCATGCAAAGTTCTTAGCCACCACTCTAGCTTAGAAGCCGAAACTTTGGCTCTAGACTCTAATTAGTCATTCAAGGTATATTCTCAAAATTTATTATGCCATCTTCTCAGGTAAGTAATGTAGTGAGTCGGGAGGTGTGTGTCCCTCCTTGGGGAGGTGGTCGCCGCATAGTGGGCCCTGAGCCAAGCAAGCGTGGCATCTAGGCCAAGGAGGCCTAGGCAAGTGTTTCTTTTCATCTTTTTTTTCTTCATAGATGGCCATACAGGAATAGGCATGGGTAGCCATGAACACGAGCAAGCAAGTACACGCACGCATGTAGCACGTACGCATTGAATCGATTGAGAACAAGCAACTACGGAGTGCATACAGAAAGGTGTGCATAGTCAACATGTGTGTACAGAGACCGCGTACAGAGTGATGCGCGGTGACAGCGAAGTCCCAACCAAGTCCACAGTGTTCTCTACGGACTCCAGGTGCAGCGCGCGCTTCGGCGCACCGTCAAGCGTGGCCTAGAGCAGACAATCAAGCGTTGCGAAGAAAGAAGGAGTGTTCCACGAGCGTCTCTCAGCTCCCGACTCATGTTGCAAGATTGACTACAGCCCTGTGCACCTGGTGCTTCCCCCTTTACTCCTGTTATAGTAAGTGAAGCGGTGGTGAAAATTTAAGGTGGTACAGGGACAGAGATACGCGAGGCTACGCGAGGCTACGCGACTCTGTAAACACTAACAGCTTACACGTGTAGTACAATGACATAAACTTATAGATTATAACATTATCACAATTGAATTATTATTAAGTAGCTATTTAGGATGGCTAACAATATAAAATGTTCATCAGAACTATTATTCTTGGCCCAGCACTGTATACTACTCTGTTTGTATTGTAAAGCGAGTATTCGCCCGAAGAAGGCGATTAAAATCCACTAACATAATATTTATCAGTGCACAGGCCATTAACTTTAAGACATACTAGTATATATTGTCGCTTTAATAATACAAGATCTCTTCATGATCTGTATATCGGCATAGAGTGCCTCGATCTCCAAACTACTTATATTCGCTAGGTATAGCTGTAATGATATTTAATGCGGAGTTGTAAGCGCCGAGAATATCATGATCAAGAGCAGTCTTATTTAGAGAATAAGGCAGGCTAAGCTCAGGTTTAGCTATAGACATTTTCTCGCGGTTGATTCGCTAAGTACTGAACAGTTCAAGACAAGAAGGAGAATCAATCAATGGACAAAGAAGATAAGGTCACATTAATAACCGCCTCTCTTAATATTAACAATATATGGACATAGAAGGTGGATAGACAGAAGAAGCGAGATGAAGAGCGACAACAGAAAATGCCATTCAAGATCAAGAGCTCAAAAAAGTCTATACTGGACTATCGTGGGTACGTTAAGCGATATCTAGTCTACTGTCTTCGTGTAGACTGGCTATCTCGTGAGGAGACTTAAGCTCAGCACAGCATTACATTAAACCCCGACCAGCGGCGACTCTTGGACCAGGTCAGTATCGCTGCCGCAGAAATGGCTCGCAGTGTGCAACTAGCCCATGAAGAGGTCGACATCAACAACGAGGATCACCAGGAGCGATGTCAGGTGCTGAATCGGGCGGTCTTCGAATATTGGATTGCATAGTGGATGCAGAATATGGCATTTCAGGTCTATGTCAACCCGCTCTTGCACTTTACCGCCGTGTTGGGCATCCGAGAACTGGGTAGCTAGGTAGAGGCTTCCGTGTTCACCAGCATGCTGGCCGGCTTGATGTGGTGTGGTCGCGTGGCGATGTTGGAAGTGTATAGTGAATTAAAGGTGTTGCAAGAAGTAAAAAGGAGTGTCGAAGCAAAAGCATAACGACTACAACTCGCGAGTCGACTGTTGGGGCCAGCACAGCTGTCGGTGAATGAATGGATCCTTGATGGTTGATCAGCACGGTTATCGGAGTATAAATAGAGGTTTTCGTCAGCATCCACCGAGAGATTCTTCTGTCGTGGGTTGGAGGTCGTTTACAGTTCCCCTTGGGTTTCTGATCTGGCGGGAGAAGGGGTGATTCTGGCGGCGGAGCATACAGCCACGGTGCCAATGAAGTCAGGATGGACCTGCAGACGGTTGACCACATCTTCCAGTTGCCCTTCGGTCCACGACATCCTCGGATGTCATCTCGCTCCATGTAACGAATACTGCGAACAGCGCGGCCTGGAAGTGGAGCTGGTTTGAGCAGAATTTAATAATTGATGGTTGCTCAGCTACTTCGTATCTACCTTTAGCCTGGAGTCGAGACCTTTCCAAAGAGTGGAAACCTGAGGGGAGCCAAGCTTGAGTGTACGCACATGTACCAGAAACCTTCTGGGGATCCCGCTTAATTTTCTGTCCCGCCCCCTTGGCATTGATTTGCTCCTTCTAGATCCGGATTAGAGAAGTCCCTGTGCCGCCTTCGGTAGAAATCTCTCCAGGGACAGATGTTGAACTTAACTTAGCACTAACCCTACATTGGGATTGGGTTGCGGCAAAGGCCAATTTGGTGCCCCACTAGGATCGGTCATGGCATAAGGCTAGACCGAACTACAGTACGGATAACAAAACATTAAAGATTGGAGGCGCTGATTGATGTGGAACTCTAATCCACGGGCCTTTGCTATATCGAAACCAATGACTGAGTTTGAACCTGTCATCGCATTGTCCAGCTTTGAATGATGTCCGAATCGTGTCAAGGCCTCTTGGAAAGGTTTGATTAATTGGACGCCGAATTTGGTCATCCTTATTTACCCCCCGAGAGTCACGGCTCTTGTGATTTCACACCTGATCCCTCGGATGTATTTGCCCGCAGCTGACCTACAGAACTAAATCTTCTGAATGAGCGACGCTAACTGGAGATCAACCCTTTGTCTTACTCCTCAGAAGGAGTCAAGGCACTCCAGGCAAAATATGAGATATGTCTGCGGGAGGTTGCAAGAAATCTGGAGGCACATCTTTCGGCAATTGCCTCGCCTCGGCCCACTTTCTTACGTCCTCAAAGTTCCTACACTTGTGCATCGTGTTGAAATCGACAAAGGGAGCAGGGGATGAAGGATTGTACCATACTTGACCAAGAACGCCGATGTCTACTGTGCACATCAACTGCTGTCGAAGAATGTCAAGGCAGTGAGCTGCAACAGCCTTGTTATTGACCGTTTCCGAAGGGTTTGGTAACCAGACTTACAGACGTGTTTTTTGAGGATGTTATCGTCGTTCTTGAAAGCTCCTTGTTTCAGTGCATGATAGTAGTCAAAGTTGTAATACAAGGCTTGTCGAAGGAGATTCTGCAGCCCGTTAGAGAGCTATTCTGCTCAACCCGGAGCACTTGGGGTGGAACGTACTAGACAGTGAAGTTGATGGAGCCCTTCAACATTCGCAGGATATCCTCCCCCATACTTCGGATTTATCCTAACCTGATCTCGTCGCAGACCAGCTTCGGAGGCCCGATCTTCTGGAATAGCAACGCTACGATCTTTGGCACAGTCAACCTACTTAGCCAAGTCTGTCGCGATAAGTAGATTAGGCAGACTCACAGTTGGATCCTAGAGCTTGCCAAGCAGCGTCAACTTCAGGGCTGGCACTTTGGCGATAGATGTTTTCGTCTAAGAAGGTTCCGTTGAATCTGATTGTTTTGTATGATAGGGAGATATCCTCAAGGAGGGGTGCTGCGACTGTCAAACTTATTCTTCTTCAAAATCATTATACCTGTGAGAGGTACTTACAGCCCTGTGTGACTTGCGTCGTACAGTCTGCATTTCGATTCCATGCAAATCCGAGACCCGCCAACAGTCCTCCGGAGAAGAGAGTAAGAATCAAGAAGGTCCCAATTAAAACCTGGCCCAGGGACAAAGTAAATTTTGGGGAATTTGGATCTTGTAGGTATCCCTGGAGTTCCGAATTTTGAAGCAAAGATTCATGATCCTCGACTTCGCCGCTCGCTATATTCTTTGAAAATAATTTCATAGCTCCGAGGTAAAAGGGAGTTACGCGCCAATATTTCGCTCCAATACTCTCCCGGAAGTACAATCTCAGAAAGAAAAAGGCGACATGTTATGCGCATTGACGTGCTCCCCTTCTGAGGTGTAGCTGAGCCTGCCAATGCCCGAGCCTTCGAAAAATGTAGCTAGAATGAAAAAGCTGAATTATGCACTTGCCTTGGCTACCTCCATGGCAGCTGCTGCGGTCAAGCACAGGCCTACGCGTCGAGTGGCCTAGTAGCTACGATAAGGTTTGCTTGCTTTCGTATATTGCCGGGTACGTTTTGAACTATCAGAGTGCTGATCCATTGAGCCCGGCCTGCGGGGAACCATGTCTACAAAGTTTGCGTGACCACTCCAGGAGTCCGAACCAGTCGCAAGTCGTTAATCTTTTCTACTTTTATTCTACCTCTCCCGTTTCTAAGTTAGACTCACGAAGAGTGACACGGATTCGGTTTCTTTCCTGGTCAGGTGAACTGGCTACTACTCGATGATGACCCGAGTTACGTAACAATTAATCTGACCATGTCACCAGGTCGGATCTTGTGGAAGCTATCTGACGGATTAGAGCTCCGTAATGTTGACGTGATGGAACTATGTACGGGCTACCAGTACGCTTAAATTGTTCAGCAAAGTATTTTATTCAAAAGTTCCATGTTTGAAGAGGTGCTCCGGGATTCATTTACTTCGTCGGATGGCTCTCTGTCGTGCTGTAGACACCAGGGTACAGCAATGTCAGCGATGTAGTTAATGGGAATTGTATTTAGGATTGTGTTTGTAAAAAGGGAACACAACTGTCTCATCAATGAGACCATCCGCTTACAGACTGCTCTTTGCATCTCAGCCTTTCATTTTGAGTCAGCCGGCTCGTATTTCACTTTAGCTCCTTGTCGCTCGCTTATATCGTTTTGGATTTCCACTCCTGACTACCCGCAGTTGCATACACGAGCTTAAGCTCTGTCCCTCGTGCACATTACGTCACCTACGCTGAGGTGCAGTCTAACATAGACGAGAAACTGAAACGGCGAGTCTGAGGGGCATTGTCGGTCCGTCATCCTTGAACTTCAATCGGTACAATATAAAGTCTCAGCGCCCGTCATCCTATTCCAGCATTCTTGCATGTGCGACCTTGCCTAACTCATATCGGCTCACCAAGCTCGACAATGCTTTTCCGTCCACAAAGTCTCATTCTTCTTGCCCTTGTGCCCTCAATTCTCGCTTTACCGCAATACGGTAGCTACGGGAACTATGGGGACTATAAGCTTGGTGATTATGGGTCTTATCCCTCGCCACCGCCCTCAGGGTGCGTTCTCCAGTTTCTATCTCGGCAATTCCCCATCAAGTGCATTCTTCAAGTGTATTCTATTAGATCTAAGGAAGTTTTGCTGAGCACCTCTTGACAACCAACAGGGCAGCAAATCCGTATGGTAGCTACGGCGACTATGGTGCTTACAAGCGTGATCCTACAGCAGCTCCCATGAAGAGGAAGGAAGCCAGCCCTGGAGCTGCACCAGCAGCGGTCGAAAAAAAGGAGGCAGCTCCAGAGCCTGCTCCTGCAGACTACGGCGACTATGGCAACTATGGAGACTATGGAACCTATAACATACCTCCACCCGGAGCTGCAAATCCTTACGGCTCATATGGTGACTATGGAGCCTACAAAGAGTGAGACGACAGCTCGATAAGCGCTGGGTTAGTGGCTCTCAAGGCTGCGGCCTAAGGATTACGGAAACGGTGGTGCCGAAGTGGAGGTTGCCAGCTTGAGGGATTTCGCATCCTCTTAATAACTACTTAGGTATCAAAGGTCCTTGCTTCAGTTAGGGAAATAACTCAGTCTCATAGCCTCCAATAGTTCTACTAAATGCAACTCGAAGGAAGGTATCTGAGAAATCTACACGAGGGTTCAGAATGATATGCCATGGGAGTCCCCTTACTCTATATCATGATTTCTCAGACCCGAAGCTCTGAACACTCAGTACTATGACATGCTTCATAACCTGGAGTTTACAATCTGGAGTCCGTTGCAAAGGACGCACTGGTAGTCCCAAAGTGTAGGACTTTTGCAGACTGCTTATATAAGCCAGGCATGCACACAGCACAGCCTTAGGCTGTCGCAGAATAATCAACCTTGTCCCGTATAGTACAGTTAACCAAACGAAAATGGTTAGATCTGTCTCTTTGGAATGACATTTGGTACCCCAGACCCTCGAAGGCTTGCTTATTCACTAACTAGGGCCTGTTATTTCTTTGTCCCATGTCCGCGGTTTCTGGAGCCTCCTTCCCCAGGGTTTGTGTGGAGATATATCGACATACTTAGAAGAACAAAGCTTGACCATCCGAGAGGATATATTTCTGCCTATGACCGCAGCGAACCTGCTCCGCCTTGGGTGGAATACGTACCTGAAGTAATGGTACAGGTCCATGAAGTTGCCTCTAAGCAGCCGGATCGCGAGCTCGAATTTGTATAACGACTTACCAATGTCGGACCTTTTTGCATTATAAGCGCCGCCACGTACCTAAAGAGGCTCGTGGCGACGGGTACCATCGTAAATGCCAAGGTCGAGGAGAGCAACGAGATGAATACAAGCCTGGTTGATGAGCAGTTTACATAGTACTCTTGATCACCGTGTGATTAGTTCATGCTGTTTATGGTAAGGCTATCAGGGAAGCCAGGACTATAGTTTTGAGGCTCTAGATTGGCATAAATCAAAGAGATCAGAACAGCCGCTAGCGGAAGAGGAGTAAGAATCAGGAGACAAGCCCAGACGATATGCTTTTTGTAGTCTTGCATTACCAACCTCGGCGCGCAAGATCGTTGGGGTTTCAGAGTATTTGCTTCAGTTGGCGAAGAGGGGTCATTTGTATCGAGTGTTCGACTAGGTAGCAACGTGGTGTCGAGTGTGGTGTCATCACTACCGTAGTGGCAAGGTCTTGTGTAGACCAATAATTGGGTGCTTCCCCCTTTCGCCGCGGCGCTACTTCTGGAGTTGGGTGCGCAAGGTGGTAGATGTCTAGGGGACAATGACACGTTGTATCGAGCATTTGGTGTCGGCATGGTGGTCACAGGAAGCCTAAGAGTGCGAGGGAGAGCGATAACGCTCGGCATAGCCACTAGATATATGTGTTGAGTGCTCGCGTGAGGAGCTGTTCTAAGCCACGACCCAATGTTTTGGTCTCTTCCAGAGCAGCTAGTCCTCACGGGAGATCCGAGCTTGTCTAAATTGCTGTTACTGGGATTGTAGAATGTAATACATACATGGAACCGTCTCACAACATGTTCCAGTTTCTTGATCATTCACCTTTTCGTGGCGCACTCAGGGCTCGAGCATCATGAGGGTGGGCAGTGCGTTGGACCCTGAAAGACTACGACAGGAAAGCGAGTATTTTGAGTAGTTGTGATGCTGATTGGACGTAGCCAGGGGGTGTGTTTCAGGATCTTTACCCTGTGGCCTTGGCCGGGCGCGAGGCCCCACGCGTGTTGATTTCCCAGCGCTGCTCAAACCCTCAAGCTGAAAAGGAGGCGCAGCCCCTGGAACCGCCGGTGCCTTGATTACAACTCGTGTCTTCGGGGTCGAGTAGCGATGGGACGCCTTAGACATGGTTCGATATCCCACATTTTCGCTGTGTTTGTCCTGTGGGCGTCCGATGTTGATATTCCGCATTCAAGGCAGATAGCTATCGCCGACCTTCGTTTTCGCCCAGCGTGGCCCGACTGAGCCACTACAATTCCACCTAGGGCAGCCTTTTGAAGACAGCACAGCCTCGCTAGACTTCATGGGCAGTATTTGACTATTGTCGTTGCCTGTCTCTCGGCGGCAGAAGAGCCTCGGCGAAGTAGAAGGACATACGAAACCCTTCTTTTATCTCAATCTTGGAGCAACTGGAGCGGAGAACTTCGTCAGAGCCGTCGTGCGTTCGGAGCCATGTCGAAGGCTCTATACTCGGTCGTGTCCCTGCGCGGTGCGAAGCAAGACAGCGAGGTCTTATCCGACGAGAATTCGACGCGATATGGTAGCAATGCCACAATGCACGAGCCGTCATCTGCCTTCGCCATCGACAGCCCCGATGGCGACCGCATGCAGGTCTTCTTGCTCAGGACCGTAACGTGCATCTGCGTGCCCATCCTCATGACTGGTTACTATGCCGGCCTGTGGGCTTACTGGATCGAGGGCTATGACAACTCGGGCCCCGTACCTTGGGGGCCCCCAGCTGGACTATGGGCGTATTATATATGGTATATACCGGCCGACTCATGTTTCTATAGCTCCTCGTCATCGCTGACGCCGTCTTACAGGTTCGTCGTGAGCGCAGTGGGGATTGGGATGAGCAAGTATGGGCTCGCTGGCATCGAGGCTGCCCTTCTCATGGACCCGCGGTGGGCGCCGGGCAATGCCATGCAATTAATGATACATTGTGACAGGGTTAGTAGCTTACCCTCTTGTTGGCTGTAGACGGCACTGACAATTTTCTCCTCTCCAGACTTGGTCAGGCCCGGCCGGCTGGGTTCAGATACGCAGCAGGCCATCACCAGCGTGGCTGTTGCTGGGACTCATCAGTGTCATTCCTTACGTTGCGTTGCCTTTGTCTGGTTTCACTCTACAATTGATGAATGGTTACACGACGACAAGAAGTTCCACAGCATATCGCGCCAATCTGGTTGGTCTGCGACCCGAAACCTTTCTCGACCAGAACCTCGAAGACGTCTTCACCCGCTCATTTAACCGATGGCGATCTTCATCTCCATCCGTCCTCTACGAGAAGTCAGCATACTATCTCCCAGCCGGCAGCAGATCGGAAGCTGATAGAAGCTGGCTCAAGGCCTTTCCGAACAACTGGCCCGATGAGGCCAACATAACCACTTTTATAGCTCCACAATCGAGCTCCATCGTAGAAGGTGAGGCCTGGGGACTTCAAACATCGCTCAACTGCAGCGTTGTGTCTTCGATCTCGCAATTCGAGCTTCTCAGCCAGCGCAACGATGACGGGACAGCTCCCCGATGCCCACCCATCAACTTCAACTCGTCAGAGGGCCTGCCTGAATACAGCGGCCTTCCAGATCTGTGTGACTTCGACGTCTACTTGCTGTCTCCCATCGCGAACGAAACCTTACTCAATCTCAACATCCTGGACAGTGTGAACTTCCCGGTAGGCATGATGGAGCTGGCAGTCAAACACCAAAAAGATTCAGACTTCGGGTTCGATGTGCCGTTTAGCAATGTCAAGCCCGTGCTCCTCGAGGCCGCGCTGTGGCAGAATCCTATCGAAATGGTGCAGAAGTGTGCCCCGCTCGAGAAGGTGGTTTCTAACGATCTTGGCACGATAGTGAGGGGGTTCAAGAAGACGTTCACGCACACAAACCTCACAGCCATGTTGACCGGCCAGACGGATATGAGTCCGAAGGAACTCGACGCCATTGGCGTACAATGTCGTTCCAGCTACAGAACCGGCTCCGCGACCGTGGACGGCCGGACGGGCACCTACACCAAGTTCGTCGACCAAGAGGCGGACGCCCTCGTCTCGGCAACTCCGGTGCCTCTGGCAACGGCGATCCCACGCATATTCCGCAGCGAAGTCTCGGCCGCGCTGTCCCTCCAAGACATGTATGGCGAACAAGCTTTTGTGGACACAATCAACAGCCTCAACGTGGAATGGACCGCGGACTCGAACATGGACCTAAACCCCATGGCCTACGTCGCCTCCAACATCTCATGGCTGCAGAACCTGTACAAATCGGTCGACGCCTTCTACCGCCAGCCCCTCTACTGCGATGACGAAGGAAATGTCAATCTGACCACGACCACAACCTGGCAGCAGCTGCAATTGATCAACTCCACACAGCTCGTGACCAGTATGATGCGCGCGCACAAAGCGTACGCGCTGGAGATGAGCAAGCCGACCGTGCAAGCTCGCTCCGCTTTCTTCCTGGGCAATCTGACCACAGTGCCGCAGACTCTCATCGTTAGTCGCGGGGATGTCCCGGCGCAGCCTGTACTTGCGCTCCTCGCAGTGTGGGCATTTTGCTGCAGCGTACTGGGCGTGCTTTACGGTCCCAGACGACGCTGGAGCGAGACCTTGGACGGGTATTCTATGTTCCGCTTTGGCACCGACCAGCCACAAGTCCGCCAAGCGTGCAGGACCACCAGGCGCTTCACGGAGTGCAGTGGGCTCAGGGAGCTCCCTGGTTTGGTGGGCGATGCAGCTCGCCAGAAAAGCTTTGGGTATATTACCTTGGTGGACCAGTGGCAGGGTGCAGCGAGTGTTGAGAAGAAATACATCTGAAGGCCAGGTAGTCATCTCATGCTAATCGCATTGTTACGGATAAACCAGTTTGCCATTCCAGGAGTCTACGAGACTTGAATGTGAGCGACTAAATATCCTGATCATCTGAGCTTTAGGCCTGCTTTTGATCATGTTGGCAAGTTTCTTGATCTCAGGAGGGACACCGATGTTGATACTCTGATTAACGACGGCTGGGTACATCGTCGACACCGTGATCCCGGTAAATGCTCTATCTAAGCTGCGGTCGACCAAGCCGCTCAATTGAGACCTTCGACTGTTGTCTTAGCCTCGAAGAGATATATCTGGAAGTGTTCTAAGTCGGGAACCTTCAAGGGAGCAATTCATCACTGATCATTCTGCCCAGTTGAGGGCATGGATACTGGTGGGAAAAAGGCTGCTATTGCGAGAACCGGTGCAAGGTATCTCTCTCCTTTGGGATCCTTTGTGCTCTTTCTGTCTTTCCTGCGCCACAGTCATTTGCCCCATAGCTACTGGCGTTGTCCACATCAGCCAGCCCCTAAATAGGAATACTTCAACCCTCTGTCGTGTTATCACTCTGCAGAGGCCTGTCCCTCGAGACATTCCTAACACCTGACCACTACCACTAAGTAAGTTCAATCTCATGTCGCTCACCAATAAGCAGTGCGCTCTGGATACCTGCGCCTCACTTCTCACACTCGGAATCTGAATGCCGGATCCTTCATGCTCGAGATCCCACCGGTAATATAGTCCCCTGCTTTCACGACACTCTGCGCAGTATCGCGTTTCCGATTCTCCAATCTCATCCAACCACCATATGACGCGGAAATGACGATAACCGCAATGCACATCCCGATGTTGGTATGAAGCGCCGTCACGTATCGTGGTGCTTCATTGCTTTTGTAGATATTTGCGGAGAGAAACCCACCACAGTTAGCGCAGGCTATGATCAATCCACACGTCAGGGCTCGGGCATTCAGATTGGGAATGTTGGCAGATGCCCAGGCGGCGTTGAGCGGGGTTGCCGGGTAAGCCTAGAAGGAAAAACGAGTTAGAGACAGTTGTATCTGAGATTCGACCGAAAAGGCACTTACACCGGAAGTACAAAGAAACATGGCGAAGTAAACCACCCCAGTTTTCTTGGTGGGCACGGTGGACAAAATGGTGTACCCTATCAAGCTCAACAATCCAGAGCCGGCTATATGGAGGCCTCGTTCTCCGAAGTGGTCGGATGAGACACACCATACAACAAGAATAACAGCACCTGTCAATGCTGGAGCCACGGTATACTGTGAGAACCGAAATTTAGCTTTTGGACTCTCGAACGACGGAAGAGGTTATACGGAGAACATACCAGGTTGGTCTTCACGACACTGTACCCCAACCTGGCCACGATCATGGCAAGGAAGTTGGCGTTTGAGGTGAGGATAACACCAACGGCAAACGCCTGAACGCATCTGACATAGCCATGAAAGGTGGTGAACTCGCCGATGGCCTCTTTCCAGTTGAACTTGTCATCCAATGTCTGAACAGAGTCCAATTCCAGACGCTGCCGTGCTACGTCTTTCTCGTCTGCAGTCAAGAATCGACCACTCTGTGTATCAGAGGGCAGCAGCAGGAATACCACAATGCTCCAGAGCAACGTCAAACCTCCTTCAAGGAAGAAGAGGTAGCTCCAGTTGAAATAAGATCCACCTTTGATTTGGAAAACTCCGAAAGCAAGGAGTCCTCCAAAAGCCGACGATGCAGTCAAAGCGGCATAGAATATCCCTAAGCGAGTCGCAAGCTCGTTTCTCGTGTACCAGATAGAGAGATAGTAGATAATTCTGGCGACCAAAAGACCATAGTCAGTTGATCAGCACACACAAGCAACACAAATGCCAAGGGGTTATATCTGGGTGACACTGACGACGCAAGAAAGCCCGACTCAAATAGTCCTACAAATACCCGGCAGACGACAAGGGTGTGGAAACTTCTGACCCAGCCTGTCGCAAGGGATGCACATCCAAATCCAAAGAGCATTGTGGCTATCGATCGTTTGGCTCCAAATCGTTTCGTCGCCATTGTTGCAAAGGGTCCAAAGACGACGAAAGGAATTTGATAGTAGGTTAAAACTTGGTTGTACTGGTTCCCCACCAACTTGAGATCTTTCGCGAGGCCGGCCGTATGTGCATTTGATACATTGCTTCGATCTAGAGAACTATAAGAAGGCATTAGTATTACATACTGTCCCAACCGTAACGTGGCATGAACATGATCCGCACTTCAAAAGATAGGCAAAGGCTAAGAGTGGCAGGAGAATGGAATCCGCCTTCCTCTTGAGCTTTCTCACTACTATTGGATCGATGCAGGTCTCCTGGGCTTCGTGACATGATGGTTCCGGCAACAGTTTCACGTCCTTGATGGGGGTGATGCTGCGTTCGATAGCTGGATTTTCGACTGTCGCTACCATGTTGGCATGGCTTGTGTGAAGAGAAAAATAGACTGATGAGAGACTCGGTTGTTCGCCGATGGCATGTCCAGTTCTTCATATAGTCGAGCATCTTTGTCCATCATGCCTCAGGCTCTCGGCTCCCTCTAGCCTGCTCTCGTTCCCGTGGGCAGAGAAAGTGTAGGGTAGAGTTTGAGGCCATGTCCGAGATAATCGGATGGAAGCCGATAACTACCTTGAGTTTGTGCCAAAAAGGGCAATCATGCCGATAAAGCAACGTCTTCATTGTTCTTCAAAACCTACGGGTTATCCGACCTCTCCTCCTTCTTCTGATTTTCATCCTGCCATTCTCGCTCTCTTATCACTCATTTTCAGCTTCAGCATCGGATGCTTATCTAAACCCCAAGCCGATGGCTCCTTCTAGGAGCGAGATCAGGCGAACGCCACAAGCCTGTCGCACATGGTAGGTCGTTGCCTCCTCGCCTTGCTTGTGGCGGCGCTATTGCTAATGTTGCATGGACAGTCGTCGTCGAAAGACAAAGTGTAACGGCGTCCACCCACGGTGCAATTACTGCTCAGCAAAAGATATCATGTGTGAATGGCCACCAAATGTTATCAACGCATTTGCTGGAGGTGATACATCCACTATACCGTCTTGGCACCTCTCCCTGGACGACCCTTCTCTGAGGACCGCCACCAACACGTTACCGCTAAGCAGTGAAGGGCTCAAACTCTGCATGGCTCTCTTTTTCGAGAAACACTCCGCCATTGACTTTTGCTCCTTCTTCCGACAGTCACAATTTGACGGAACCAAGCCCCAGAACCACTTTCTGGTAACAGCGATCATTTCACTCGTTATTCGATACCTTACGGAGGACGAAGTAAATAGCTTCTTCGGCTTTTCTTCTCAGGTTGAAGCCTATCGACACTTCACGAAGAGGGCCCAATGCCTAGCACGCGAGAGTTCAGATCATCCCAGTGGTAGGCATGCTGCATGAAATCGCCTTGCTCGCACAATCACGTGCTAACAAGAGTAGTTCCAAATATCCAGGGAAACCTTGTCCTCTGCTTATCAGCACTGCTCTCGGACTTGGGGTTGAGCCACTGGATGTATGCTGGGACGGCTATACGAATGGCCCAGGCAATGCGACTCAACAAGGAGTACCATGACAAGCACTCGGAGCACGAGCGGGAGATCCGGCGACGAACCTTTTGGGCATGTCTTCAATTCGACCGACTGTTGGCTTTTTTCCTGACCAAGCCGCATACTTTGTCGTTGAAGAATGTGGCAATCGCGCTCCCTAGTACCGATGTCTCTTTCGCCTACGGAGATCCTACTCGAGGGGTAACTTTGCTCACACTCGCAGAGTATACAGGGAGTGCCTCAGATCTTGGTCTCGTTCCATACTTGCTAAAGTGCCTTTCTCTCTGGAGCGACATGGCAGACTTCCACGTCTCCCACGGGAGAAGGTCCGAACCACTTCCGCCTACCGATACGTTTAGCCGGTTTTCTCTGCTTTCGGCATCAGTGAAGGATTGGGCAGCTGCCCTTCCCACGAGACTGCATTGGTCCGAAGAGAATTACAAAGTTCATTCGGCCTTGGGTCAAGGTCCCACTTTTATCGCACTACACTGTCTCCTCTTGAGCGCCTGGTGCGTGGCCCATCAAGAATACCTACCCCAGACAGACGGGTCCTCGATCCTCCTTGATTATTCGGACGCTGCAGGTTGGTCGTTCCTCCATCGTGAGCCGAGTTTGGTCTCCACCTGCGTGTCAAACGCCCTTGCCATTGGGGAGCTTATCACGGAGACATTCTCCAGGCAATCTCGTCCTGAGCCTCCAGTTAGCGCCGGCGGAATATTTGTCGCTCTCGCCATGTTCTCCGCGGCAAGTCCGCTCTTGTGGCTGCAGTACACTGCAGATCCCCAAGAGTTTGAGCTAGACAAAGGACGTGCAATGGAGTATTTTGAAACCTTTCGACAGTTGCTCGTTGGCTGGCGGCATCATTCCTGGAAGATCGCTGGAGTGTGGTTGAAAGGACTCGATGAGATGCGGGCTCTCTACGAGTATGCCTACCGTGGTGACCCTAGTATACTGCCCAGCACTTTGGACAACATGGACACGGAAGAAGGCACGGAAAACCCAGGTGGCGAAGAGCCCTGGAGTTCGTATAGACCACAGCTGGGAGACGGACTACCGCAGTTAGATTGGCCCACTAATCTCTATTCATTCCTCTGTTTCAACAGCGTCAGTATGGGGAGCCTTCCATCTGAGAAGCAGAGATATATCTGGGCTGTTTTGACGCGTGGCTGGCCATACAGCACTGAAGATAGTGCATTTTTGGACTTCAGTGGTTCCATGGCCTTGGATGGCTGAACCAGCAAGTCCTTTCTCAGAGAACATGACAGCATGTGACTGGTTTGTGGAGGCCGACCCACTGTCGGTAATGCCGATGCACATCATCCGGGTCCGTAGGTGCGAGGGCATGTGGTGCTCGCTTGCCCGCCTCACAGGATATTTTCGCTGGACTTCTATACAAAAGCTCCTATCACCACTCCAAAAGGGTTTCGCCAGTTTCTCTCTGCACTCGACCGATTCACTAAGACACCATCTACTACTGTCATTGTTTGAAACGGCAATATCTTAAAGGAGCATCACTAGTGTACCATGACTATCTCATCAATTCCACAGACCAACGGTGGTCCAACTACAGAAAAATATGAAAACGGCGCACTCCCTAACGCTATCCACCCGGACTTTCTTCCACGTCTTGATGAGGATTTCGTGCAATACTACAACAAGTATTTTGCTTGGAAACCACCAACCCATGAGATCAACGTCAGGGAAATCAGAAGCAACCCGACCAAATACAACTCGCCCTGGGAGAGGGACTATACGGGAAGCAGCCACATCCAGGACATGCAGCTGTTGTCGCACGATGGATACGAGTTCAAGGTTCGATGCTACCACCCCGACGCGGTGAAATTTGGTGACGGCCCGTACCCGCTCCATGTCAATTTTCATGGTAAGAATTGCCATGTTCATCATTAAGCCCTACATACGGCAGTGATCTGACAAGATCCCATTTCGGCAGGAGGTGGATTTGTGTTTGGAGGACTTAAAGGCGACGCCGAACTTTGCAAATTGATCCAGGAAAACGTGGGCGTACTGGTGTTGGACGTTGATTACAGACTTATGCCAGGTAAGTTTGCACACGACTGTGTATTGAAGTACGCTCCCCAGATTTCAAGACAATCGCTAACACTGTAACTCTCACTAGAACATACCTTTGGTGATGGCCACGAAGACGCCTGGGCTGTTGTGCGCTGGGTACGTCGACTCTCGCAGATGGCCGCTCTCTAGTCTTCCTGGAGAAAGGCACATCAACGACAAAATTGGAAACAAGATCAGCTGATTTGTTTCCCGAACTGTAGCTTCGTGATCATAGCCAGGATATCAATGGCGACAGAGACTCCATCTCTGTTGGAGGCATATCCGCAGGGGGAGCGATCGCTGCTGTGATCCAGCAGCTGGCTCGAGACGAGGATATCCCCCTCAAGCTAGGTATGTTGCTTCCCACCCGAGGGATACTGTAATCCTTGAGGCGAGTACCGGACTGGGATCACCAGTGCACTGACCTTTGACTGCCTAGCATTCCTCGCCGTGCCCACGACACAGAGCTTCGGTGACCTCACGAGCCCGCTGAAATCGCCGTACCCGTCCATTGCGGAAAATGCCCTTGCCCCCTGCTTGAACTGGGCCCGGCTAGCATATTTCAGAGACGTCGCATTCCCTCGCGACCCCAGAGCCCTCGAGGCTATTGCTGCGCTCCCTGAGTTCTACAGAAGTCCTATAAATGGCAATATGAAGGGCTTGTGTCCTACATTTGTGGCCACAGCCGAACTCGACCCTCTACGCGATGAGGGGGAGGCTTATGCCGAGAAATTGGTGGAGGCTGGCGTCAAGGTCACGGTCAGACGATACACAGGTGTTCCTCACCCCTTTATGCACATGACGCCGATTCAAAAAGCGGCTCTGTACGCCGAAGACTATTGTGAGGCTGTGAGGTCGGCTCATCGAAAGGTTGATGTGGAAGGGTAGAGTAGTAAATATAACTGCGCACTCTCTACACGAAATTATACTTACCCCAATATGTGACGAGGTATTGAAAAAGGTATATGTATGTGCTCTTCATCGTTCTTCCTGCCCTTACTTAGGTGGATGGTAGTATCTTCCCAAGTTCCCACACAGAACCCGCTTGTCTTGTTAAGCCTTCGTCCCTAAGAACACCTGTGACAAGGTCTTTAACTTCTTCTGCCACACCCCAACTGATCTCATAGCCTCTTCCGCCCGCTCCATAGGCATGCACAATGACGAGGATTTTCGCCTGACGGTCAGAGGCGGACTGAGTCTGTGACGACTGTGGTAGCGTTCTTCTTTCGACCTCTAGCCTGAGTCCCCCGTCTCTAGTCGGCCTTCGGCCTACCACATCCTGGAGGATTTCGTACGACGGAGTCTGAGAGGTCGTGAGGTACTGGTGTTTGCCCTCGGTCATTGAAGACGACGACAGTAATGCTAGTTCACGCATGGATTTCGCCAACGTCGCTCTCGTGCGCTGATCGGGGCGTGCGTCCCACTCGCCCGCTTCTTTCGTGCCACCGACGATGGTGCCTCCATCGAACCCGCGTGGGATCACGAAGCTCCACGTCCCATCTGCATTTTGGCGCGTGATGGTCTTCTCAGCTGGAATATTCGTCAAGGCAATCTGTCCTCTTGTAGGGAAGCACGCCTTGTCTCCGAATCCCATCCCGCTAGCGTTGATCACCAGCCTGGCAGCAGGAGCGACGGCAGCCGCAGCTGCCTCCTCTTCACATTTCACATCCGCGGTCATGATGCTGCCGCCGTTCAATATGAATTTTCGCAACAGGGCCATGCAATAGATGGGGGAGTTGATGCAGTATGTCGTGTACTCGTATCCCAACTTGACGCCCCTGGGCAGCGTATGCTCGTCGATCCTTCGAAAACCCTGCAGACCTGATTGGGTCATGAACGTAGCTGCGTCCAGCGACTGGATCTCTGGGCTGGGGTTCTCGAAGTACTCTACCCCCGGGACCTGTGTCACCCCGAGCCACGGTTGCGTTGCAACTTGCTCGGCAAACACATTGCATGTGTATTTCAGCCATCGAGCCTCGCGGGCCAATTGTGGCGTCAACGCCAGGATGGGTCGGACGTGTGCACCCGCGTGCATCGATGCATAGTTTGGAGATGGCTGTATCGAGCTTGGGGAAGAAGGGAACTCTTTTGCAATGATGATTAACTTGTACGGGAGACCCTGTGCGTGAATCAGATCTTGGATGCGCAGCGCTGCCGTCAGACCAAGTATTCCTGCTCTTGAACAATGGAAGAGATAGGAAATGTCAGCAAGGTCAGTTCATTTCATAGGAGTCCAACTAATCAGTGGTAGACCTTACCCTATAATGACAATATATTCAGACATCGTGGCAGATTGAGATGAAGAATAGCCCAAGTCGAACTTCGGTGCTTTATCTCACATGGGCAGGATTGAGGCCACATAATCTTCCCTTTTTATTTATCGGGATCAATCCAAATGACATCCATTCTATTCGTCACAAACAGCTGATACTTTGCCGACTCTACTCCTTTGATGCTAAAGTCGGCCGGCGGTGGGTGTTATCCCAGTGTCGGCTTATCCGATGGCAAAAGTGTTGCAATATCGGCGCGATCCCGACGGGTCTTTTTCGGTGCTTTTACAAAGATGTACAAGAGACAAGGATGAGTTGCCGGGGGCTTGGTATCGAGTAGATCGTGACGCAACAATAATAATGGATATCTCTCCAGATCAAAAAAAACTGTCGTCCAGACTACATCAAGATGTCACACTTGCATGTGTGCAGATGAAAGTTGGTAAGCAACACACCAGGCACCACCTTATTGGCCTTTTTGAGGTCTGTCGAATAGTCGGCCACTAACCGACGAGAAATCAGGGATATATAAGTCGGAGAATCTTACCCGTGCCAGATCTCTTGTGCTTCAGGCCGCTCAGGAGGGAGCGAAGATCGTCATCTTGCCTGAATGCTTCAACAGCCCTTACGGCACGGCGTACTTTCGCCAATACGCGGAGACTCTACCCAGATCTCCATCTCTATCTCCGCATAATCCACAGGCAGAGGAACCGTCCGAATCGTTCCGTATCTTGTCGTCTACGGCGAAAGAAGCCGGCGTCTATCTCGTCGGTGGTAGTCTTCCTGAACTAGACCCGGACCAGGGAAAGTACTACAACACTTGCCTGTGTTTCTCTCCAGACGGACAATTACTTGCCACGCACCGGAAGATTCACCTTTGCGACGTCGACATCCCAGGCAAAGTTCGACTGCAGGAATCCGAGGTCCTGTCACCTGGAAACGAGATCACTATTGTGGACCTGCCCGGATATGGCCGATTAGGTATAGCTATTTGCTATGATGTTCGCTTCCCCGAGCTTGCCATGGTCGCAGCGAGGAAAGGATGTTTCGCAATGGTGTATCCGAGCGTGTTTTCGACAGTGACGGGAGAATTGCACTGGAGCCTCCTGGCTCGAGCCAGGGCGTTGGACAATCAGATCTACGTGGCAATGTGTAGCCCTGCGCGGACGTTCGAGAAAGAATATCGTGCTTGGGGTTATAGTATCATCGTCGACCCTTTGGCGAGGGTTGTCGCAGAGGCAGATCATGCTGAGGCCACGGTCTACGCTCGTCTGGACAGCCTTTTAATCGAAGACACTAGACGGAATATCCCATTAGATCTACATAGGAGATTTGACGTCTACTAGGACGTCAGCAATTGAGTGTCATGGACTACCAGAATTGACCATGCGGTTACCCTAGATAATCATCGCCCAACAGCACCGTACCAGCAAAGACCCAACAGTCCTCCAACCACGATAGCCACAGGAGCGGGTACTTTAAACCACGCATTCCCAGCATATGTGAGAGTGGTGACCACCACCCACCAAGCGTCTTGACCTAAACTCTGTCCGCTCGAGCTCTCTTGGGTCAAAAAGCCAATCTGCCATAGCCTGTAGACAGCGGTAAACACGAGTCCAACAGCAGTGGCATTGATCCCGCGTAATAGACTGATCACAATTAATTTGTGCCTCAAGGTGCCCCATAGGCTCTGGAAGCCCACAGCCAGCGTGATTCCCGGGGTGAAGATACCCATGAAGCCAATGAACGCACCCAGCACGGTGGAATGGGGAGTGCCCAGAAGGGCAAGGGCTCCAAGATAGACGGCGAAATTGAAGTTCGGGCCAGGGAACGCTTGGATGATGGCAAGACCGATCAAGAAGTCCCGCGTCGAGACCCAGCCTGGCTGGACGACGTATTCGCGCAACAACGGGATCACAACAGGACCACCGCCGAAGATGATGGTACCAGCAAGATACATGTTGGCAAAGAGATCAAGCGGTCTCGGCGGATCGTCAAGGACTCCTCGAGCGACTAGGACAACGATGAACGAGGCTTGATTTATTAGTTTTGGGGATCTTAAAGAAGACGGAGGAGACTTACCAAAAAATGTGGCAATGATAGTCAAGCCAATCGTCACTGGTATGGCATAGGACTTCACATCTGTACGGTTAGCTTCCTCAGTCCCTTGTGGTCCCTCGGTCTTCGGGTCTGGTTTGGCGTGGAAACTTGTCTGGGCTGCGTGTCTCCGTTGAACACCGGTACCTTGCTCACTCGGCGTAGTGCTTCTTTCAGGAAGAATGGCTGGCTCGTTCGCTTCGACAGACGCAGGCTCGGGTGGTTCTGGTGGCTGAGATCGCCCACGCTTCCTGGCCGCCCGTTTAGCCATGATTTTTCCAATTTGTTGCTGAAGCCATAAATCCCAAACGACAGTGGCAGTTCCGCCAGAGATAATAAGAACTGGGAAGTACCATAAAGCCGTATAACATAGACCTGCGCAAGCGCCAAAGATCACCAGAATACGGGTAATCGGGTCCTTGATAGCTTTCTCCGCGAGCTAGCCAACGTCAGACAAAGAGGGCCGAGGGGAGAAGAGCTGTCGGAGGTGCCTTACCTGGACGGCGGCAAGCGCTACAATGCCTACTGTTGACGCATTCAAGCCAGTAAGGAAGGCGTATGCAATGGCAGGGAGAACCTCGTTGATTTGACGAACTCCCAAAGACAGACAAAACATGCCGATTGCTCCAGGCAGGCTACGCGGCAAGGGTCAGGTTTGCATTATCACCAAGGGATGGACCAATTCTAACCTCCAAATTAGGAATGTAAGCAGTGCTGGGAGTATGCCTGCATGTATCAGGATAATACAGAATAACATCTTAGTGCTTCCAGGACCAGGTAAGGCTTGACAGATCGCGAACAATTCTTGATACTAAACAACTGTTACTATGGGGCATCCCACCACGTACGCCAGGCAAAACAGACACAGGCCTTACCACTTGCTCGTCAATCCACGGGATTCGGCCATGTGTTCCTTGCACAAATCGACGGTGTTCAATTTGAAAGTGGACCGGAGGACCGCCAAACGCCGTAAACCCGAGGTCCCAAGTTCTCGTGATGACATCTCCCATACGCCAGAAAAACTTATCGGTGTTGGCAAGATATGCATTACTTTGGTCGCGCGAATAGTCGCGCACCACGCGAAAAGCTGAGAGCAGGGGCATGTTGGCGCAGTCGGCGACAATAGTCGAAGTCTGACGATTCGAGACTGTGATAAGCGAAAGATAGCGAGGGCGGAAATCGCTCTGCGTGGACGCCAAGTATGTCTTGGTGTTGCGAAGAATGGCGTCATTTCCGAGGACGATTATTTACTTCTCGGCGCGAGGCTTTATCAGAATCTCGCTGCCCCTGTGCTGACGACGTTTCAATCATACATCGTATGGTTCCGTAACTAACCAACAGGGTCAGATCACAACTTGCGTCGGTATTCTTCGAGCAATCAGTGATATTGTGATGCGATACCTAGCCATTGCTAAGGCCAGCTGTAGCGCAGAAACCACATCTCCGTCCGGTAGCAAACCATTTCTCTTGCCGCATGCTGAATCCCAGCATAAGGTTGCCAAAATCTTCGGACAGCTTGACTCTACATTCATGCTAGAGCCGCAGAAGAAATGGGCTCGTCATTCCCAGAGCCAGATTGTGCGGGGGCGCTGCCTTATCAGCGGTAACGCGCGATCGAGCCTACCCTTGCCGTATTCTCCAAGTTGATCGTATCGGATGTTTCCTCGCCAAAAGTCCCTAAGGCGAAACTCGGCTTTAATAACACAAGGTATGTTTATGAAGGCTTTGACGAACGAGAGGAGTATCGACTTCCCTAGACTTGGTTGGGCAGTGCACCGTGTTTAGAAAGATGCCGACAGGATGATTGTCCTTGTTGCTGCGGATTGAAAATAGGTCAGGCTCCAAACGAAGACGTGAGAATATGAAGGAATTCTCAAACAATGCTCTAGTTCTGATGAAGGGTAGCTATTCTGCCGTTACATCAGAATGTAAACGCAGAGACAACAATATACTAATCACAACATAACCAGACTTGCTATCACCAGGGCACCCATTGTGCAATACAAAGTACGGGAGTTTCCCCGGCAGGCTCCATTCTCAGATGTGTTCGCAGTGGCGTTGCCATTCCCAGTACTACTGTCGGTTTCATTGCCGCTAGCTGTAGAGTTGGATGCTGATTCTTGGATCTTTGACAGCCATAGCTCGACCGGGCTCAAGTCTGGCTCGCAATGTGCATCGGCCTCGGGAAGCGTCCCATTAAGGAAGTAGGCTTGAACGTGTCTGGATACACACTCGGAAGGGTTGATAAATACACCATGACCATACCCGCTATGGGGCAGCACCGCACTTCCTGTGAATGCTGCGCTTCCATTGTACGCGTTGACAAGCGGTGTCACCGGGTCGAACTCGCCATTCACATATAAGATTGGAGTTTTCGTAGTGACGTGGAAATCTCCCCAGTATCGCTCCTTCGCTGGCATTCGCCACCGGGCAGAAGGCCAGATGTTGAAATAGGAGACATCGCTAAAACCCGGGCTGACAGTGCCTTGATACTCTACCTGAGAAAGGTATTCGTCGCTGGAGTTGGCAATGAATGTGGCATCACTCGCTCGGATCCCGATCACGGCATTCTTGGCCGGGCCGTAAGGAGGAGCCGAAGATGTGTTTTTGGGCGCAGGGGTGGTTCCATTGAGGATGTCGGCGAGGGTCTCTGCAAAAGTATGCCAAGTAGAAGGGTAGTAAAGGGGGTCAATGAAAGTTCCTTTGACCCCCAAATAGGTAGAATAACCTTCGACACTCGACGTCGCATTCTCGGCAAGGGGTGTTAGTAATGCGTTAATAGGATCGAGAAGATCTTGGGTTGTGTTCGGTTGAAGCAGTGAGTACAGGGCACAACTGTCGCCCAAGTCGAAGCATGTCTGGAGGAAGCCAGCGAAAGCCTTATCGGTATCGTGGACGAATTCTCCGTAATGACCGGCTCGGTAGTCATGAGGATTCACGTTGCCATCCAGAACCATCCGTCCAACCCTGTCGGGAAACATGGCAGCAAAGTAGGATCCCAGCGCAGTACCGTATGACCAGCCATAGAAGCGAAGAAGGCCGTCTTCGTCTAGTGCGTCGACGATTTCGATCATGTCTCGGGCAGTGAAAGCTGTCCCGATAAGTGTTCCCGTGTCGTTCGCTTGTTCAGCGCAGTAGTCTGCAGTTTGACCAGCGTAGTCCCATCCGACATTAAGGAAGACTTCTGTCGTATTGGTGCTGACTAACGTATCAACGTCGCGCTTCCGAGCTGGGGCCGCAGTCATGGCCTCGAGATCGCAGACGAATGGAATAGTATAACCGGTCCCACGAGGGTCCCAGGATAGGAGATTCCACTGTGGCCCAATTACAGTCTGCGCAATTTCTGCGACCGTTGGTAGATTCTCGGCGGCCGTACCGCCGGGACCACCAAAATTGATCAGGACGGACCCCAAAACTGGTTCTTGGGTGGCATTGACTCTGAGTATCCGGAGGTCAAGCGGGCCCGAGTCAGAATCAGTGTAGTCTAAGGGTACCGAAAGTGTAGCGCAGTCGAAAACCGAGCCTTGACGATTCAGTAGTGCAGAGATGTTTGCGTTCAGCTCTGGACATGGCTGGAATTGAATGCCGGTTTGTCCACCACCTTGCGCCAGGACGCTAAGAGCCCCAGAGAGGCCCAGTACTGTTAATGCAAGTATCGAGGACATTTTTAAGTGTGTTGTTGAAAAGAAAAGAAGATCTTTGTGTTGGTGATGCATGAGTTTAAAGCATTCGAGACAGGGCTCTATATACTTTTCAAGCAGCTGCAAGAAGCGAGCAAGTATGACGTCGTCCATGGCTAAGGCAAGCCTCTTACGCTGAGTCCGCCCATGTTTCATTGATGAACCTGGGTGTAGATCAATGCAGCTTTCAACATTACCCGGGGCGAATTGTTGATATCCGCAGTCTGTTCCTGGGGCTGAATCGGTCGAGCCTGTGCCTTGGCCGACCTATAGCGTCTCCTTCGACTGGCTCGTGGAGAATGAGGCATCCCAAGTCACAGTGCTTCAACACTGATTAAATGCGTCGAAACTGCGCCTCGTAACTCCAGAGCTTTCCGCTGGGCTTCCGACGATCATTCCTCGGCACCCTTTGGCCTTGGCGTATATTTCGCGATAGGTCCAATCAGCGCCCATAGAAATGGCGATCCGTTGGCCTGACCGCCAAGGCATTATTCTGCTTCTGGTCGTATGTGCCGCTGACCAAGAAACCTGGAGGAGTCGACCCGCAATCGCCGGGTTCTGAGAAGTTCAGACTTAGGACTCTGCTTATTATAGAACCGCGGCGCACGCAGGCACTATAGGAGATTCATGGTGGAACCGAAATTAGAGGAAAGAGAGAGATCTGCGATGATTTTGTTGTGTGGAAGGCAGATTTATTTGGACAACGTCGTTCCGCCGCAGTAAGGTCAATCCCATCAGAGTATGCTTTTCAGACATTCCTGGAGTGCACCTGCACGGTTGAGCAAGGATTTCGCCAATTCTGCAGAACACTTGCGTCGATACTGCTGAAATCAGATTTTCAGACACCTGGGTTTCTCATTTACCCTTTCGCCTCAACTTTGAAGCTACTATCATTCATTCTGATCCAGAGCAGTGTAGCCGGGAATACGTTAAACAATATCGAGATTGCTTGCTCAATGATATTCAGAGGTCTCGCAACTATCGAATCAATTCCATAGATAGGGGAACCCAGACAGGGAAATTGATGAAAATGATAAAAACACAGAACTTGCAAGGAGGGTGCAAAGCCTAATATCCTTGGTAAGACCTGATAAGGTGACCTTGAACGTGAACTGGAGTAAAGAGAATATTGATGATGGACGAGGGGTAGTTGATATCATGCAGGAGTTCTTGCTATGGAGCAATGGTGCACTAAAAACCATATATTATTCGTTGAGAGTAAGCAGCAATATAACCACGTTAGTACCATTTAAACATCACCGTAGGATTTATAGTTAGACATCAGCGTACACAAGTCGCTGCCGAGTCTATACAGAGGTATATAGCCTCATCCAGCACGTAATATCACGGGGGGTGAGAGCTGCCACGAGCGAAATCTGATGCTATTGTCGTTGGTACGATTATCTTAGATAGAATATCCTGAAATTCAGTGAGGTTGAGTTGCTATAAAAACGCTTCATGCTTTCGCAAGGAGTAACGCCTTCGTAAAGGCGTCGTAATGATGTCTGTTGTTGCAACCCAGTCTTCGCCGTTCTTGTAATTCCTGTTAACGCTAGTAGCGATGACCCCCAAAGTGGCAGAGAAAGGAATATCACTGTTCTTGAAGGGTAATCGAATGGGCTGTGGGCTATACGAGAGGAAAGATGATCTCTCACCTCGATCTAGGCTTATAGCATGAAACATTCTCTTCCACCACATCATTCCGCCGGCGGTGTTGGATAGCGCCACCAACTCTGCCTTGATGGATTGAAGTTGTCACAGACTTTCTGCTGCCTTCCAGTCAATACAGCCCCCAAACAGCGTGAGGATATACCCTGTTGGAGCTCTTCCTTGGCTCGAGGTTGTCGCAATAGAAAGCGTCGAACGTGCAGAGAAATGAATGCTGTGAATTGCAGGACTCAGTCACCGCAAAATACCTAGTCCTGTACAGGTAGGAAATTACTCTGTATAACGCATTGATATACGTCCTAGAGGAATTGCTGAGCCAACTTAGAGTGAGCATGAGAGAATTGTGTCTAGTTACACTCGCCGAAACGGAGATGGAATCAAATTGACGGATCCATACATCTTGTTGTGATGCCTGTCTACTGTTGATAACAACTCAATAGTCGATAGAGAGATGTCAACTAAGCGATTAATAGTTCTTCCCTGCAATTTGCAGAGATTCTTTTAGCCGTAAAGTGCGGCTCTAGGAGCCTCAACCCCTTTCTCTGTCTAAAGAACCTGCAGGATACTCGATGAAGACCTTGCGGTCATGGGCGAGTGAGTTGAAGAAGTCGTTGAAAGCGTAAGCTTGCGATATTTCAAGGCTGAAAAGGTGAGAATAGCCCTGGGAGCCCCGGGAGTCTTGAGAGCCTCGAAAGATCTTGAGTGCAAGCGTTGCCGTATGTATCCCATGATGTGATTTCCAAGAGGGATACCCTGCTTATCCTGAGTGTGTATTCGATCGGCCTCTGTGATAGTCTTGATTTGTAGAATTTGGCTCCAATCTATGTCCATGGCAACCTAGGATTGGCCTTGTTGAGAGTACACTGATACTTGCTTGTAAGACTGGGGCGATGGGGGTAACTAATCTCGATGAACTCGCCGCGGGGCTTTAAACGTTACGCTGAATGCGCTCTGAAGAGCCTGGAGCTTGTGAGGAATGTTAACAACTTGGATAGTACAGTCATGAAGTGTACGGACATGTCGACAACGCCGCCATATTGATAGAAGTATACTCTCATCAAAAGCTGCGGGTATTTCGCTCGGTCGAGAAGGAGGACTGTGTATGGATAAGCCGGGAGAGTTGCCTGACAGTATGGTACTCGCAGTGAATAGAGTCTCATAATTGGTGTGGTAATTTCCATCCCCTGGGTACCTGTTATGGTAACAATCATGCTAAGCAGAGTGAGTGCTAGATTGACGAGTGCTATATGACGTCCCGGGGGCGGAGGCCAGAGCACTACAACTTATTCCAGGGAAGTTGGATCCTAGTTTTCATAATGCAGAGCATACTCAATTGCAAAGGGTTAGAAACTAACAATCAGCGCGTGCATGGGGTAGTAGACAGGCCAACAATGCGGGCGGATCGTTACGGAAGGAGATCTAGAAGTGATGACACTTTCCCGCGACAACATTGGGTGGTTGTCTTCGCTAGGTTCGATTGATCCCGCCAATTGTCGATCCACAAGACGGTAAGCCATGCAACGTGGGTAATCGATGCAAAGACCCCGATCTCACTGATTTGGCTCAAAAACTTAGTAGATCAGTGTGTAAAACCATTCTGTGATCTGAGCGCTCTAGTCACTAGTAGTTACATACCTATATCGGGACAAAGTTAGATAGACTAGCTCTTTTCTGGCCGATTAAGCCGACCATGTGGGTCTGCAACGCCTTTTACTTGGCAGCTCAATATCTGTGTAGGGGCCATAGCGTTGGCTGATTTCGAGGAATCCATCCACTGCATACAAACATAATGTCTAGATGCTGTGCAAGGGCCATTTTCGCCTGTCTGTCCTCGGTAATGCCGCCAATTAGGTGTCTACCCTCTCGGCGGCATGATCCGGTCTTTCACACTATGAGCTGATCTATTGTACTTTCGCCCTTAGCACCCCTGGTACTTTCACCTAGAATTTTCTAGCTGTCAGGCAGAGTAGGCCTTACCATGAGCCGATTTAAGCCAGGTTCTGGGCCCCTCCGCCCTCTTGAGCGGGGTTTGGGCTCTTGAGAGACAACCCTACTCGCAAAGATCCCAACTCGCCAGGACAATCTGCGGGCTGAACCCAGCCCTCGTTGAGGCCCAGAACACAGACTGTGTACGTCACGACTTCAATACATTACAAACATAGTATAGTCGCAAGAAATTTATGAGCATGCTCAATCCAATACTATCTGCGCGATCTAGATCAGCGCTCCATAAGCTATGACAAGGAACATAAGTTTGTAATCCGGAATTTGGTGCGAACTGTCTGTTCACTTCTCTCGTACAAAACGTTCTTGAGCTTTTATGGGTTCTTCGTTACGATTCACAACGGTCTCTTCACGTGGTTTCGGGAATTTTGCAAATATCATTGATTCAATCTGAGACTTTGCACCATTCCAGCAACGAGGACATGAAATATGTCTTCATCAGATCGCGTCCCAATCCCTGCGCCACTCCTTAATAGCAAAGCGGTTTTCCGACATAGTTCTAGATCAGCACCAAACTCGAGCCTTGAAACGTTTCAACTTGGCGATGTACTACAGACTACAACCAACGTCACTAGACGTGCAACTCTAAGCCACCTGAACGCAGCGCCACGGAAGATCAGCATAGCCATTGACAGCCTGGGCACGGTAAAGGAAGCCCAAGTCTGGAAGAAAAATGCACCCACCCAACAGCTACAACGACCTGCGAGCGACGATTCGTCCAACACCCAGCTTCCCGAAATTGACGAGGAAAGCGACCTGGCTGAAACATTGGAGGCAGTGACTGATGCTATTAGCCGACGTAGTCACAGAACACACGCCCGGCAGAGATCTTGGAGTATTAGAGCGACCACACGACCAGATGAGTCGGCTACAGAATCTCAACGCCGGCATCAGAGCGTAAGCAATCGTCCAGGACAAGGATTGCCTCCCATTGCAACCAAGTTTCCTGGGAGGTCGGCGCTCAAACGTTCATCCTCAGCAAGTGAGCACAAACTTCCATCGACGCCCAAAAGTGCCCATCTGGATCCTCTAAGCAGAAAATCATCTTCTACTAGCAGTAACCCTGGAGATACATCTTTGACTTCTACGGAATCACGATCTTCGCATGCCCATTTTCCGTGGCACAAGGTATCATGGGAGGAATCAAAAGCGAACTCTGAGCCAAAATCGCCGGGTCACTCGCGCAGGAGCTCTTTCCACCCTGGAGGACGGCTGAAAGCCGGTCTGGCAGCGACGAGGCGTGTATCGCACGCCTTTTTACATGACCGCAAGTCGAGCATTGCGATGCTCTACGAGACTGCCAAGATCCGAAAGCTCCAGCTCGAGCGCAGTAAGCGGTTCCAACTCATCTTCGAATATTCCGTTTACCTCCTTCTCCTGGCTCTGATCTACTTTGTTTGCGTCGGCAGACCTCTATGGGGAGGTCTCGTTTGGTACACGTACGTCTTGTTTGCAAACTATTTAACGGTTTCAGCTGGACTAGTCGTCGTCGCCACTTTGTCTGGTTCTTACGCTTTTGCCCCCCTGTTCATTATCTTTGAGCCCGACCCATCCCCCAACGAGGAGAATTCCAACACTGAAGGTGCGTCTAGTGCAAACGACACTGCACTTGTTGTTCCTTGTTACAAGTCCGAGCAATTGATCGGCGCAACCATCGAGGCCGCGTTGGTAGCGGGATTTCCTGCTTCCAGCATCTTCGTAATAGCCAACGGAAACTCACTTACGCCATTGGACAACACCGAGGATGTTTGTATGAAGTACTCTGTCAACCACTTCTGGTGTCCCGTTGGAAGTAAAATTGTCGCCCAATATGTAGGGTGTTACGTCGCCAAGGACTTTCCCTACGTCCTTATGGTCGACGACGACTGCATCCTGCCGCCCAACTTTCCGATCAAATCCAATTTGATGCGCGAGAACCCCCAGATCGGCTGTGTCGGGTATACTATCAAGTCCGTAGGCCCAAATAGGAGCCGTGGAACACTTTGTCAGCAAGCTCAGGATCTTGAATACAAGCTCAGCGGCCTGCAACGTGCATTTGCCGGCAAGTTGGGCAGTGCAACTTTTGGCCATGGTGCAATCTGCCTGTGGGAAAACGAATTCGTTCGAAAGGTATTTCAGCATCACCCTGGCTTCTCAGTGTCCGAGGACTGGTTCTTTGGCCATGTGAGCCGGGAGCTTGGAAAACGTATAGTTATGTCAACCTCTGTATTTGTCGAAACGGAAACTCCGGCTGCAGTTTTCATTGGATCCGGCGGTGCACGGGGCGGCTTTGGCGAGATGACAGTTTTCTCTCAACGATTCAAACGATGGAACTTCTTCTTCGTCAACGGAATCTACTACAACTTCCAGTACATCTTCTTCTCGTGGAAGCTTGGGTGGTGGGAGATCGGGGCCAAAATATTCGTGTTTCAGGAAATCTACGAGACGCTTCTCTACCTGATAGCACCACTTGTGCTGCCGATCAGCTTCGTGGTGCAACCGTTGTTCTCAGTATACGTGTTTGTGGCGGTGTATGTGATGTACCTGATCAACTCTATCATCTTTAATGAGGTGCACCTCCGGCTCAAGAAGGAAAGAGTCGGTCTCATGATGCTGATATTCTACTACATGCCATACAAAATCGCTCTGACAGCTGTCAACGTCGGTAGCTGCTACTGGAGTCTGTGGAAATACGCCGCCTACTTTGCAAGACGTCACCCAAAAATCGTCGAGGACGAAAATGTGGTTGGTGTTGTCCTCAAGCTTGAAGAAGGAGAATATAAGACTGCTGGCACAATGGGAAGTTATGGAGAGGCCCCAGCCAGCGAAGGCGTGGATCCCTTTGAATGGCAGCGATCTGGTTCATTTGTCATGACAGAATCCGGATCTAGCCGCCCAACAATCCGAAGAAGAAGAACAACAGTCACTACGCTGGAACTTGAAGTGAGCCCCTATGGATCGACTGACATGGGCGATGCCACCCAGACCTCTTATGCAGTCACTGCACTGGACCAGGCTCACGTTGCAGTACGTGATTTTGCCGCAGTATAAGGCTATTCCTCATGTAGAGGATGGAATATGGAATTCGCTTGACAAGGGGGCGGTTGAGAGGGAATTTGAAGGAAATTATGATCAATCAAGTAGCGACCCTGAACACAGCGCCAAATAGTGTAGGTGTGTATTTATCGCCAATTCTTGAGACAATAAGCTCTGGGGACATAGTTCAAAAAGTTAAAGCACAAACCAGAAAAGTCGTTTCGAACTCAAAGTCTTGAGGAACTTTGAAGACCCCTGGAAACAAGAGCGGAGTCTATTTAGACTTCGTTAGTAATAAGCATTGGAGAGATACCGATACCGCACAGCCGTCAGAGGAGAATGAGAACAACTGTTTCCTCGATTTTGGCGCCAAACACTCAGAATGAACAAGAGCAGCCAAAGGGGTTTTCAATTCGTAATCTATACTCATCGCCCAAATTGGCAACCAGAGAAATATGTAACCACTCAGCAGCACCAGTCAACGTCTTGACCATATTCAGACTGCTCGTAGGTAAGGCCGTTGCCGTTAATTCCAAGGGCGCCAGCAACGAAGAAGCCTCTAGAGCCCCGAATAACTACTCGCTGACGCAATTATTTTGGGTTTCGATATTTAGGAAGCTATAGCATTGAGCGAGGCGATGTCGCACACGTCGGGCATGCAAACGGGCTGAGATCGGACATGTAACGCTTTGAAGTGCTTTGCGTATTGATTCTGCGACATTTCGACAGATGTCAACTACTATAAGAGAGCCCTGAAGGTAATGAAGCTCGGTACAAGTCAAGCCAACCCTGAATTCGGGCCATCGTCTGCATTGTGCAGACGTAGCCGGATGTCTTGACGAAGCTTCTGCTGAGACCAAGTCTATCACACCTGAGATGCCCGTACTGGTCTTCTGTGAAAGCTCAAAAATGCATGCTCCTACTATAATTGGACTAGACCAGACCAGTAGGTTAGTTGATCTTTCGGGGTGTTTACCGAGACAAGCGTCTACTCAACTTGGGAGTGGTCTGGCTTATCAATGAAGCTATCCTATTACTGAGGTTTAACATATTGGTTTGGAGGCCGTGAAATGCCCAGATTTTCCCTCAATGTGGCACCTTCATAATCAGATCGAAACAGTCCCCGACGAACTAACTCCGGCACAACATGAGTGCTAAAGTCCTGCAGGCCTTGAAGGAGAAGCGGCTGGATGACCGCGAAACCATCTGTTGCTTCTGCTTCAAGCCAAGCCTGCAAGTCGTCGGCGATTGACTTTGTCGTTCCCACCAGAGGTCTATGTCCTAGGCCGACTGAAGCTCGCTCGGCTAGCTGACGCACTGTCAACTTATTCTTGAGCGCAAAGGATGCAATAGCAGCGGAGCGCCCCTGTGAGAAAAGTGCCTTCCAGTCTTCTGGAAAAGGACCATCTAGATCCGCCTCGCCAACATCGATTCCTAGATTCTGGATAGCAATATCAATCGGCCATAATGCTGTCGCCTCGGCGAGCTTAGCCTCCGCCGCTTCCTGCGTCTCACCCCAAATAACCGCCACACCGGTAAGGATAACGAGATGATCAGGATTCCTTCCCGCAGCAACAGCCGCGCTCTTCAAAGCACGATACGTCTTTTGACCATCCTCTATAGAGTAGTTGGCGCAGTAGATGACGTCGGCGGATGAACCACCAAAGGAAATTCCTTCCGGAGAAGTCCCTGCTTGGGCAATCACGGGATATCCTTGAATGGGTCTCTCAACCTTCAAGGGCTGAGTGATCTTGTAGAGGCTGCTTTCCAAATTGGGCGGATGAATCTTCTCAAGGACTACATAGATGCCGGTTTCCTTGTTTCTGATCAGTGCATCGTCTTCGAAACTGTCCCAGAGAGCCTTCGTGGCTTGCAGAAATGACCTTGCTCGGAAGTATTTCGCGGAGCTGTCTTTGGTCTCTTCGCTAGGGATTCGAAGATTCTCTGAACCGGGCCCAGGGGTGGTGACAACATTCCACCCCGCACGACCGTGGCTAATGTGGTCAAGACTGGCAAGCTGGCGAGCAACGTGAGTAGGCTCGTTATCACTGACACTGGCTGTATAGATCAAGCCGATATGGTTTGTACGAGCTGCGATCGCTGAGAAGAGGGTTGCTGGCTCGAATGTGCTGACGCTCCAGAGATGCTTGGCCAGGGGCCCGGATGGGAAGCTCGCTCCGTCTGCGAGGAATAAGGTATCAAACTTGGAGGCTTCGGCGAGCTGGGCATACTCGATGTAATAGTCGACGTCAAGGCTGTCGTGAGCATGCTGGTCTCTATGTCGCCAGATTTGGGTCTGTTGGCCGGAATAGATAAACGCAGCCAGATGAAGCTTCTTCGGTTTCTGTTTTGCCATAGCTGTGCTCATCGTTTCAATATCTATTGTATGGAATCTGATTTGATTTTTGTGCTGCGGCCTTATGTCTTCACCTTCGGAGAATATTGAAGGAAGAAGGTTAAGATGGATCAACCGGCGCTACCGTTATCAGTTCTCAGCGTTACTTGTGACTTGAAAGAAACTCGTGTCAGGTCCGCAATACTTAAGGCACATCAACAATCCTTCACACAACGACACGGAAGAGCCCCGCTCTACACGGTCAATTGCAAGCGCATGCCATGGGACAACGGGCCATTACTTTTAGCGCCGGTCTGCGAACCAGCTAATGACTGGAGTTGGTCGGTTATGCGGCTCGTTGAATTTGAAGGTGGGCACTGTGGTGAATGGTGTGGTAAGACGCAACTTTGGCTGAGATGGTGCATTACTTCTCTTTGCATGCTGATCTGGCGATATCAAGGCTATCACGCCATCGTACAAGCGCTCCCGCCGTTGCCTCGTAGGGCACTCCTTAGCTTGGCTAATCGGCTGGGTTTCTCCCATCACAATGATTCCCTTGTGTGCCTCGAGATACCTTTGCTTTGACTTCCTCTCCCTCCTATACATTTTACGGCTAATTGTTTACGAGATGGACGGTTCAGTTGTTGATCAATGCTAGGTTGCAAGGAGGAACATACTATGGGGTCAAGTAGACACAGCTATATCTCATAGCAGCTCGCGCGCAACGAGAAGATGTATTCTTACATCTGTGACATCGATATAGATGTGGAGCGACACCCGTTTGTTGTCCTGCGCCCGTGATAGTGACTGGGATTAATGGATTGTAACCCCGCAACTGAAAGATACACGGGATCTCGAAGTATAATAGCTAACATCTCGGTAATGGTAATGATGCCATGTATCTGCAAATGGTGAAATTGACAGCGTGCACCGTAGGAACCTCCACATCCTCAGCTAACTTTTCACATGGTCTGAAAGGAAGGTCGGAAGGTCCTACCTCGAGTAGACTCTTTCTGTATCAGAGCGTGTATATATTGTCGTGTCCAAGGGACAGCTGGAGGATTACTTCCTTCTTTTTCGTTACATCAGAGCAACACCGGTATCTGATCCTTGTGTAGACGCAAAATGACTTCAGTATCCAGTGACAAGACCTCAGCAAAGGTCGCCTCTATTGATCAGACGATCGTGGTTGAGACCACAAAAGAACCGCCAGTAACTATAGCAGATACGGCTGAGCTTGAGGATGTTACAACAGACCTTCGACATCATCCAGAGGCACGCATCGCTTTCCTGGAAACTTTCAGCGCCGAAGAGGAGAAGGCAATCATGAGAAAAGTTGATGTGCACTTTGTTGTCCTCATTGGTCTGATGTTTATGTTCAAGAATGTACATGCAGCCATTTTCCCTGTCGCGGAAAATAACTTTCTAACAGTGCTTTAAAGATTGGCTTTTCCAACATCTCCGTCATACGAACCATGCAGCGTGGAACAAAAAACAATATCATGACCGAGCTCGATGCCACTGCTGACAGGTATAATCTCGTGGCTACAGTTCAAGGAGTGAGCATGCCCTTCTTCTCAATTGAACCCACTAAACAACCACTCTGTACAGATTGCATACATGATTTTTGAGCTTCCAAGCAACTTGATGCTGAAATGGATGACTCCTCATGCTCTGGAAGCGAGGATTTTCTTCACTTGGGGCATCGCCACGGCTTGTTGTGGTGCAGTGCGCAACAGCACTCAACTCATTGTCTGCCGATGGTTTGTTGGGTATGTTGTACCCATCTCCCTTCGCTGTTAGCATTGGAACAGCTCTATGGCTATCGACCATACTTCAAGTATCTCTGACCAAAGCAGTATGCTCGAGGCCGGTATGTTCCCAGGTGTAATCACGACGCTGTCATACTGGTATCGAAGCGACGAAGTCGGACGGCCGATCCTCTGGTATTTCTCAATTGCCCAGTTCTCCGGTATCTTCGGCGCACTGGTGTGTTATGGAACAAGCTTCATGAACGAACTTCAAGAACTTTCTGGCTGGAGATGGACCTTCATTCTTGAGGGTGTTGCGACCATGCTAATGGCCATCGTCATTTTCTTCTTCCTGCCAGATTTCCCCAAATCTAAGCGGAGCGCGTCGTGGCTCACGCCTCGTGAGCAACAATTTATTGAGGCTCGGCTATCGCCTCATGCTCCGGCCACCGGTGATCCAAGCTGGAACTCCAAGGACGCCATTATCGCCCTTACAAGTCCTACGACTTGGGGATTTCTGTTTGACCAGACGCTGATGAACTTGTCGACGTATGCATTGAACTGGTATCTACCCAGTATCATTGCCGGGTTGGGGTTTGTGAAGCTTCCTACAAGTCTTCTGCTGAATATACCACCGGCTGTTGCCGGCATCCTCGCCATGGGAGTATGCGTCCTGGTGACTTCGCGAGCATGGGCTCCTCGACCCCTAATCTGCGTGTAAGTTGGATGGTTGAAGACCTAACTCATCTGTCAGCATCTATTCCTTTCTTCCTGAGCTGACTTACCTGGTAGGCTTGTGGTCTCTGGCGCCATGATTTGCTATGTCCTGTTTTTCTCCGTCAAGAATACTGGCGGTCTCTACACCGCTTGCATCCTCAGTCAATTCTTTGGCGCTTCATACTACGTGCCGTACTGGTCGTGGAGGACCTCCATCATGTCGGGATCTACTGGAGCTGCTTTTGCCATAGGTCTGCAGAGCAGTATCGCGCAGTTAGGTGCGGTCGTTGGACCACAGTTCTTTCCGTCTAAGTGGTCTCATAACCGCTACCGCAATAGCTTTCTGATCGGGTTGGCCATTACCGTTGCTGCATTGATCACAAATCTTTGGACTTGGTGGCTTACAAGACACATTGAGCGCCAGACGCAACAGGTGCGACGGGCTACTTTAAAGGCGCGGAAGGCGGGCAAGGCTTATACTGGACACACGGATATTGATGTTCTGAACGACGACAATATCAAGAACCGAAAGTGGTGGTGAATTCGTTAAGAGGAGATATTCTGAGTCGCTAGAGGTAGCCTCATATCTGTCGAATCTGATCTCAGTTATCATTCATGAGGGAAGATAGCCTTCGCGCTCCGAGGCGTTCCAGGCTAGGAAGAGCGGCTGTGGTCGGACATCGACAGAGAATCAAGGCTTGCAGATGTGCGGACGGTGCCTCTCTTACCACGTGAAACGTGCCAAGCCACTCATTACCGTGATTCTCAGACCACCCAGATAGTTGGTACGGTACCCTAGAGCATGTTTCGTGGAGATAGGATCAGCATGTCCAAAACTCTCAAAAGCTGGCCAAGCAAGCTTCATATCGGAATGGAGTCTGTCGAACCATAGATAACGGGAAGCCATGAGTGGATCTCTGTGCCGCGAACTGGAGTAACCCCGATTTCGTCTTCTGGATCAATTCTGACGTGATTGATAACACTCCTGAAAAATGTGATTTGAAACCCAGGATTTCCGGCTAACCAGAAATTTCGGCGATACAGTTCGTCCGAAATGAAAATGATTGTTATGTACTAAATGAGAAGTTGGCCTAGCATCACCAGTTTTCAGTGGTGCGAATTGTGAGGAAAAGGCCTCCGAAGGTATAATGCTTCTGACGGCTGCAACTCGTTAGTGCGATATTGGGATATCACCCATCTGCTTCAAAAGAAGGGTTTCATCTTGTGAAGGAAAACATACTCATTAACGAGAGATAGACGCATTGCTCCAGTTTCAGCACTAAACATGACCGCTACCATCACAGTTACGACTGAGATTGAAGCGGACGGTCTCAGCCTCGAAGCAACACAACAAAAGTACGCCGAAGAGGCCCAGAAACGCTTACGGCCCGACGGCCCGTCACAGTTCGTGACTTTGAATGATAGCGAAGATGATCGACTTCGGCTGTTGAGTCTTGATCCCTGGGTCGATCATGAAGCCTTGAACAAAAGGCCCTCCCCCGTCGTCCAGGGTGCTAGTTACAAGTTCCTTATACTGGGCGCTGGCTTTGGTGGGCTTCAATTCGCAATTCAGCTTATCGAGTCAGGTCTGGCCACGAGAGATGAGGTCCGTTTCTTGGATGCCGCTGGGGGTTTTGGTGGTACTTGGTACTGGAATCGATACCCAGGACTTCACTGCGACGTTGAAAGTTACATCTACATGCCATTGTTGGAGGAAACTGGATACATGCCTACGCGCAAATATGCACCAGGAGCTGAGATCCGCGAACACGCCGAGCGTATTGCTCGTCATTGGAATCTTTCCGACACTGCTCTCTTTCGTGCCGAAGTTCAGAAATTGCAATGGGACGACGACACAAAATTGTGGAACGTGAATTATGTTGAGCGGCGAGGAGATACGGAGACTCCGATACCGCAGACAGTACAAGCACAGTACGTGTACCTTGCTGGCGGAGTTCTAACCGCTCCTCAAGTTCCTAAGCTGCCGGGCCTCTCGTCATTTTCGGGCGAAATGTTCCACACCGCTCGATGGAACTACCGCGCCTCGGGAGGGTCACAAGCTGATCAGCGCCTGCACGGCTTTCGGGGCAAACGAGTCGCGGTCATCGGCACGGCTGCCACTGCGATTGGCGTGATCCCGGAAATTGCAAGGTATGCCAAAGAGCTTTTTGTGGTCCAGCGGACGCCAGCCTACGTGAAACCCCGAAATCAACAGATCACAGATCCAGAATTTTACGAGACCAAGATCGCCAGAAAGCCGGGCTGGCAATGGGAGCGGCAGCTAAACTGCAACAGTTTCATCACGAATTCGGCCAAGCCAGGAGAGGAGAACATGGTTGCCGACGGCTGGACAGACATGCCGGCCTACTCAGCTGTGGTTGGGTCACCGTCCCACGGAGTAGTCGACGGTTCCGCAGACTCTCTTGCCAGACACATTGCCGAGTTCAACGCTCTTGATTTGCCACATATGAACGCAGTTCGCGCCAGAATCGACAAAGTCGTTCAGGATCCTGACATAGCCGAGAAGCTGAAGCCTTGGTACAACTCATATTGCAAACGGCCTACCTTTAGTGACGAGTACTTGAAGTTATTCAATGAGCCCCATGTACATCTTGTCGATACTGACGGGCAGGGCCCTTCAGCGGTCACCAGCAATGGACTGGTCGTGAACAACCAGGAGCTCAATGTCGATGTCATCGTGTTTAGCACCGGCTATCAGATTTCAAGCGCTCGAGGGGCAAATCCAGCGGCCAAGCTGAATGTAGAGATCTTAGGCCACGAAGGCAGGTCCCTCGACGACAAGTGGAATGAAAACGGTGCTGCCACGCTCCACGGATATGCGACAAATGGATTTCCAAATCTCTTCTTCACTGGTTTGTCACAGGGGACCACCACCGGGAACAACGTCTGGATGCTTCGAATTATCGCTGATAATGTCATCTATCTACTGACGGAGGCGTTTCGAAACACTCCAGAGGGCCGGAGACCGATTCTCGAAGTGACGAAGAAGGGTGAAGAAGCTCACACAGCCGAGGTTGTAAGGCGGGCTCCCTTCTTCTCTTTGAGCCGAGGCTGCACTCCAGGATACTTCAATGGCCACGGACAGGCCAGAACGACTACGGATTCCGCGTCGAGGGCTAAAGCAGCAAAGGGCTCTACTTGGGCTGAAGGCACGCAGTCGTTCTTGGAGTATATCAGGAAATGGCGGGAACGTGGAGGGTTCGCTGATGTAGAGGTCCATTATGATTCTGATCCACAGGCTTCTGTCCAGAATGGAGAGTAGTAGGACGCTTGAGATCACTACCGAGCAAGTAAAAAGCGCGCATAGATATTCATGACTCCATCTTTTTGAGGCAGTGGTTTACTAAGATTGACCTTGGACATAGCACAATAAATCGTCCCGAGTTTCATCCTGCTACTTGTAGATATTGCGACAATGACCCTGATCGTTGAAATGGCCAGTTCGCTTTCATCTACATTGGTTTATAACCTTCCGCTACTCTCAGTTCTCACCAAAGCCTAATCTCTCACATCGCTGAGTTCGAGATCGTGTAACCCAGAGTTATGTAGTGCCAAAAGTTCTATGCCAGGCGTCTCTTGAAACAGTCAATGGAACCTCGACTCTCTTTCCAGGATCTATGCGCCACGAAACTAATGGAGGTAACGACTTGTTGCGTTGATCTCAAAGTGAACTTGTCTCCACGGATAAAACATCTTCCGATGCGGAAAGAGGCCGCACGCATGAGTTAAGGCTACGCTAAACTGAACAGGGCAACGCTTCCTGATCTAGTATTTGAATGGAAGTCTACGTCATCGCCGGGATGCTGTTCCTCCGTTTCACCTCGATGTTGATATCTTCCCTACAGTCATTCGCGATATGTTCTTTACAATCACGGGGCCATGTGGGTTGAGAATGGTGGTGATCATGCGAAACCATTCGCCAATGGGTCGTTTTATGAGGGCCAGGCTATCCTCCCGCATACCGACTCTGACATGATTATAAGTACAGCTGTTGTCCCAAGGCAGTGTTTCAGAACCTAGGAACGTTGCTTACGAAAGGAGGCACCACACGAATACTTTAACGGTAGTAATAACACGTGTAACTCAGGCGATATCAGACCGCCGACACTCCGGTTTCTTGCCCCTAGCTTCTCTACACCTATCCCAAGAAGACAAAGGATCTAGAAGGTCGTCGATCACGCGATGTCCGCCAACGGTGTTGATCCTCCTCTTCAGCCATCCTCGCGATGGATCCAGGTCCCCTCAGACTCAGACGGCCAGACTTCAATAAGACTTCACGTCAAACACCTACAGCCGCCAAATGCCGATCCTTCTGCGCCAACGATTCTCTTCCTCCCGTTTTGGGGAGGATGTGCCTCAACATATGATGCCATACCCTCTCATGCCGCGGCTGCTGGACTCAAGAATATTGGTGTAGCCCTGTCTTATCGCGGCACCGGCGAATCTGAGACTAGCGACGCCGATTCCATACACGAACACTCTGTCGAAGCGCTTGCTAATGACGTCTTGGCCATAATGCGTAGCGAGCAGATTTCCGATCTTGTACCGAGTGGAGAGTTTGTGGTTGTGGCCCATAGTATGAGTGCTAAGGTTGCCTGGCTTGTGCTGAGAGACATAGGACGAGGGCTTTTTCTCCACGGTGGCATACAGAAGGTGGTGATTCGGTCATTGTTGTTGCTTGCCCCAGCTCCACCAGGACCGTTGGTGCTACCTGCGAATATCCGCCAGCAGCAGTTGCAGGCCTACGAGAACCTCGAGAACGCAACTTTCACTGTGGAAAATATCCTTACCAACGGAAATCTGGACGACGGTTGTATGAATCAACTGGCCAGGGATGCGGTTGCAATGAGTACCGGCGCAAAGAACGGCTGGGTGGAACTGGGGATGAAGCTGAATTGTACGGAAGTGGTTGACCAGGTGGTAAGATTGGTGCCAGACTTAAAGATTTGTGTGCTTGCTGGACGTCAGGACGTCGTCGAGACTGTGGAACGGGTGCAGAAGGAGACGGTAGACGTACTAAGAGGACTGAGGGGTGGTGTGGTGTCGTTCAAGGTCGTTGAAAGCTGCGGGCACTTACTGCCCGTTGAGGCGCCGGCAGAGGTGGTCAGAGAGCTGAAAAGGTTGCTAGAAGGTTGTTGAAACCCCGTGGCTATCAAGGTGCTTTGTGAAAGCTTGCAACATCGATTTTAATCTACGTGAAGTCGATGTGAAAATGCGTCAAACCAGCACTCAGCTTCTCTTCGGTAGTCCAAAGCTTTCGCCTGTTGTTTAAAGACTCTAAAGGCAAAACTACGCCAGGTCCGAGCAGTTCACGACATGCATAAAGGATAATGTGGAGCAAGAGCACATTTCTGCTTACTGTAGCTCGAAAGAGCTATCTACGTATGGACAGACATGCCGGTATCCAGGTGACAGTTCCGTGCATCGTACAGTGGAGGTATTTTCTACATTGGGCCTCAGAAGTTTGCCCCAATGTTTTTTTTAAAGTTACATGCTATGAGCTGCCGACGGAGTTTCTTCGCGGCCCAGAATATTTGAAAGTTTACCGACTACCACAATAGCGAGGCCATTAGTCCGTGATGCTTTTCTTTCACCCGTATCAGGCATGCCCGAAACTACTACTACCGGCTCATGTTACAGCTTTGTTGATGTTGAATATCCTTCAACTTTGCCGGTATCGATGTGAGCACAGCAACTGACGCCTCGGTGCTGAGAGAGGAAAGAAGAGACTCTTGGGAGACGATTTGAAGCTAGCATATTGTACCAAGGTAGCATCGTCTGCCACATCTCGACCATTGGCAAATTGGTTGCAATGTACGTGTAGGAGGAGACGCAGAACAAGAGTTGCAGGAAAGCGGTCATGGGGATGTGGATTTGAGATAAGACGAAGAGTAGTAGTAGCGTCGGTAGGGCCGTGTGCTTACTCTGCGCTAACACGATGATAGGGATCAATCGGGGACTGGAAGATAGTGGCAAAGGGTATGACGATATTGGCGAAGGTCTACCCTTCAAGGAGGGTGGCACGAGTTCTGGCCCACGAGCTTCAACGCCGAAATCAGAAGAAGCTTGGCTGAATCGAAACTCTCAAGACTTCTCCCTTTTTGAGATCTTCTCCTTTAAGGGGGATGCATACCTAGTTGACTGTGATCGAGTCGGTATCAGTACCAAGCCTCGCGGCGAGGGACGGCTCGTGATGTAGGGAGCCACGTCAAGCAACGGTAGCGTGGAAAAATGGATTAGGGAAAACTTCTCGCATCCTGAACTCATATCAGGACACAAATCGAACCCAAAAATGGGCATAAACGAGCTTGGGAACGTGTATGTTATCACGTTACGTATAATGCACGAGTGACAGGAGTGATAGATTGCTTCCACCTAACACCATGCGCAAACCGTGCTAATAGTTTCCTCGCGAACCAGCGACCTTTCATCCTCGCAAGGAAGATACAACGCTTCAGAGATCGTGCTCGCTTATGAATCCTTACCACACTTTTCAGATAGAGGGTCTAGACCAACCAACATCTGCAACTAGAGAAGATGGCGAGGGGTGCAAATGGCGCAATCATTGGGGTGGTGCGTGGAAGTAAATGGTACAATCCAACCCCATAATTGCGAATGGCGATCCATCTGCTTCCAAAAATTACGCCACACCAACTAGGAGCTGAAAGGGGAAAGGGGATTACCCGACATCACGCCAACTGAGATTCCACCATATTTTGTTCCTTTTGTTCACCATGTTGGCCGAAGATTGCGTGCTTTGGATGCGTGGCTACGACAGCGGCAGATGGAAGTGTAATGCAAAGTTTATTAGAAAGAAATAAAAGAATCGTAAAAGCCATCAGAATCGCGGTTTGTACTTTCGTCAACACCCCAAGTGCAGACGCTGGCCATCGACATGGGCAAAGTACAAGACCCCAATGTCGTTTCGGCTGCCGGGGACGTTGAAGCCGGATCCCAAACGTCCTCCAAGAGCTCGCTAAGCGATGTTGCGAAGCCAGTCACGACTTGGAAAAGCTACATCTGGGATACATGGGACCTGCCTAAAGATGAAAGATGGCTATTGTTCAAAGTAGATGGGTTTGTGTTGACATTTGCATCGGTAAGAATCGGACATGACGTCCATTTCGAGGGTTCTTGTTCTCTGCATGGTGTGACTGATGCACTTTTGGCAGATTGGCTACTTTCTCAAGAACCTGGACCAACAGAATGTCAATAATGCATTCCTCAGTGGGATGAAGGAGGACCTCTCCATGTATGGGAATCAACTTGTGACAAGTACATCGATCTGGACCGTCGGATATGTTATCGGGCAGATACCGTCCAATCTGCTGTTGACAAGACTGTCCCCGCGAATCGTCATCCCTACCGTAAGGAGATTCCTTCTGGTCTCTTTCAAATCTGGAAATTCAGCTTTCTGACTCAAATCTCACAGCTCGAGATAGGTTGGGGGGTTGCTACCATTGCCACATCTGCAGTACAGTCATACAAAGCGCTTTATGCAGTGAGATTTTTAGTGGGCTTGTTTGAGTAAGTGGCGATCATCAGTATATTCTACCTTGAGTATTACTTACCGTTCAACCTTAGATCAGGCTTCTACCCAGGCATTCACTACCTTCTCGGCAGCTGGTATACTCCACGTGAACTTGGCAAGCGTGCAATGATCTTTTGGCTAGCTGGTTCCATGGGAAACTTGTTCAGTGGATTCTTGCAGGCGGCGGCATATACGAACCTTGATGGTGTCGATGGTAGAGCGGGCTGGCGCTGGCTGTACATTATAGATGGCATCATCACTCTACCTCTCGCCGCCGTAGGGTACATCTTCTTCCCCAACTTGCCACAGGATGATAAAAAGACATGGTGGACAACGAAAGCAGAGCACGAGCTTTCCGTAAGGCGTATGAAAGCCGTCGGTCGTGCTGGTAAAGTGCCATGGACGTGGTCAAAAGTCAGAAGGCTTTTGCGCAGTTGGCATCCATATATTCTGCGTGAGTCCCTCAGTCTGACAACTCCTTGGAAGCTCATACTCATCAATCGCAGCCATACTATACGTTCTCTGGAACAATGGACTTCCCCAACCAGCCATGGGTTACTGGCTCAAAAGTTTTAACCATAAGCCTTATCCTGTTCCTGGAACACATTTCACCATTCCACAAATCAACTACTGTGGGTACCCCCGGTTCCCTGTCTGTGACAATTTTAAACTAATCACGGGGTGCAGTGCCAAATGTTACCACGGGAATATTCATCGGAATGGCCTTAGTATGGGGTTGGCTCTCCGATGGCCTGTTGCGAGGTCGACGTTGGCCTTTTATCTACGTGGGTGCTGTAATCACTGTACGTACAAGGGACTTTCTTGTTCTGATCCTTGATTGTTTAGACGTCTTGCTAACAAAGTGTGCAGCTGATATTCTCTATCGTTCTCCGCCAAATGTCGCTCTACTCAGACGTCCATGGTAGAAAGATCGTCTTCTATCTCAGTCAACTCGGGTGGGGAGCGGGCCCTCTGATCCTAAGCTGGATCAACGAGATATGCTCGGATGACACCGAGAAAAGAGCGATACTTGTGGCGGCAGGCAACGACTTTGCCTACGTTGTTCAAGCTGTGGCGCCAAATTTTGTTTGGAAAACCACTGATTTCCCGGCTGCTAGAAAAGGCTACCTGTGGTCGATCATTCTTCAAATTCTCCTAAGTAAGTCTTTCTGGTTGTGTGTGCATGGATATGACATTGATACTGATTTCCGCCATCACAGTCTTTTGGACAGCTCTTATTCAATTCCTACTTTGGCGAGACAAGCGTATTTCGGGAAAAGGAAGACCCGCCGATGCTCTCGAGTCTGAAGTCGAGGATTTCACTGGACTGGATACGCCTACAGGAGCAGCTAAACAACGCTATAACGATGAAGTTGTGTCGATAGTACCTGTTGAAACACACGCACCCACAAAATGACGCTGAGAAGCAATCCGCGCGAGTTTGTTGGGTGAGAGCGACCGGATAGTCTACCTGTATGCGAGAAGTCTTATAAGGTCTGACAGGGACGAGAGGATAAGCCCACGATCAGGACAGATAGTATCAATTTCTACATGCTCGCTATGCTCAGTCAGAGTTCATACAGCCGCCCATCCCGGTCAACGATCTTTGAATGTACTCACCAGCCACTCACCATTATGGGTGATTTCGTCCTAAACGTCGCCTGCCTCCCATATCTCAATTTAGCTCATTCTCACACCCTGGGATTTTACACAGGGGTCCCGTTAAACAGCTAGATGATACCAGCTGTGATGAGTTTCAATATACTTTGGAGGTTGTCTTTTCATGCGCAGTAGGAAGTAGAGCTTATCACAAAACTTGACCGATATATCATTCCAATTCCATCGAACGAAGCCTCACAAGCTGTGTACTTTCAACTCCAACGCATTTGACCATCCTCCAATGTCCGGATCGTCAGGGAGTCCTGGATGCGTGGTGGGTTCACTAAGTGACAGCTCGAGAGACGAGGACGAAGCTTCTCTTTCAAGTTGCTCATCTTCTGGACCGGATATGACTTAAGCCGTTTCTAGTTGTTGTTGCGCTGATTTGCAAGAAGCGATTTTCTCTTTCATAGTGAGCCATTCGGCGTGGATCGATTTTACAGTCAAAAAGTAATCATCCAGCTGCGCCTGAAGTTCTCGTTTTTCGGCCCGTTCCTTATCTAGGACATCTTGTAGTGTCAATATCACCGCTCTTGTCTCTTCCAAATCATGCAATGCCGTCGTTAATTGGTTCTCTAAGTCAGCTCTTTCCTGAACGAGAAGATCCAGCGATATCTGTAGGTCGTTCGACTGTCCACTGTATGCATAGATGTCTTGTTGAGGCAGTTTCATGCTCTGTGAACATCGTTGAAGGGCGATAATGTTTTCATGAGTCCAGGATGCTTGAATTCGTATGTCATTAGTAAGGGCATCTTTGCCTGAGTCCGTTCCCATATCACGCTGTCCGATGAAAGCATCCACTTTTGATTGGAGGGTGGCTCCAAGAACAAAATCCATGGTAGGTTCGGATGGAGAAGTGCTATTGTCTCCCCCCTTAACATTGTTCTCCAGGTTCCTGATCGTAAAAATTGTCCGTTTCTCGACTGAGGAGGTATTACCGGGGTGTTGTACGTTGTGAACACTCGACTCCTGTTGAGGGACCATGTTCGAAACAAAGGTATCTCGTCTCAGAACTCCGCGATCAATATCCTGGGCAGTACAGCCAAACGTAAAGCAGGTCATATCATGGTTACTTGGTTGGGTCACTAGTCTGCCCATCCTGGCACTTCTGAGAGAGTCCAGTAATCCCTTGAGAAGCTTCTCCATCAAGATGTGCTCTCGCTGATCCCTCCATTCCGGCCATGATTGATCCGTTCTTGAGGGAAGCTGACCCATGGTGAAGACACGAGCATTGGTAGCAGTGTCAAGTAATGCAGTTGGACTACGTCGGCTGTTCGACACTGGTCCCGGGGGATGTGCAGCTTGGCCAACAGAGAAGGGTATGCAGGAAACACTTCGAGGAAAAGAGGTAGAGAGGGTTGTTGGAGATGTGGAGAATATAGCAGAGGTAGCACTGCTCTGCTCCCCCCTTACGATGCGTCCCCTGCTTGCAAAACTGTATTGGTTCTTGTGGCTTCCATGGTGTTCGGAACCTTGCACAAAGAAACACCAGACTGCTAGTCCCAACATGACGGTGAGTACACAGTGCAGTGTACATAACTCAGACCGGTGTAGCTAGCAGAACGGGCCAACGAAAGATGTCGCTGGTCAAGATGATGGAACTGTTAAAAAGACTTTTTGAGTGCTTTGTCCCGGGCCATTCTTTGTGAGATACTACCAAAAACCAGGCACCACCTCAAGTGCTCTTTGTTGGCCTCGTTTTACTGTAGCATACTCAGCCCTCTTGGTACTTTTTGTTTACTTAAGAGTAGATGTCCTCTCCGTGGTGCTCTTCATATCCCTTTGTCTTCGGGCGGAACATCCACAATCTTTTTATCTTCCTCTGTACTTGACTGTCCTAGGTTAGTACTGCCCGTTCACCGCAGAATTCACTGACCTAAGCACTTCCCCATATATTTGTCCCTTGTGAAATTGCGCTAGAGCAGATGACGGTGAATGCATCCAAGAGATCCTAACTTGTTAGTTCATCACCGCAGCAGTGTTGCAACGACATGCAACAGGCCGAACATCTATCCACTGCCGCCGCCGAAACTACCAAGACCCAGAGCAGATCATAGAGTACCAATATGCCGGGGATTGTGACGTCGGTAATTACAACAGACGAGATAAGACAAGATCTTATAGCACTTCGAGATATACATATCCGAAGCTTGTAGTTGGCTGGGAGGCGCCCATGCCGATACAAGTAAATACTTTGAAAGCATAGTTCCGTAACGCAGTGCCAGAAGATGAGCTCGACCAGGGCGTGCCCAGACGTGACAGTCTGGTATTGTAAATACCCACATCCGTACCGTGAATCCTCAATAGACTAGACAACTTCAATATGTAGCGTCTTGCAAAGCCACAACCATCTCTCCATACTTATCAATGCCTTCGTCTTGGTCGAGCTGTTCCCACCATGTCCGAGATCCTGGATAATTCTCAGATGAACAGGTGACTGGCTCCTTGTAGCACCGCCGTCCCGACCTTGCTGGTACTGACTCTGTGATGCGGCTCCATCGCCAGACAGAGACGCCGTATACTTCAAGGCAGCAGTAAATTTGCAACTGTGCGCGGCAGACACCAACTTGTCACGGAGGCCCGACACCAAAAATACTGGCGGATAGCTGGCCCCAGACTGCAGATGTTCTATAGGGGCCCAGTCATACATGGCATCAAACTCGTCTGGAATCCTCACGTCGCCGAGTTCAATTTTGCCTATGTTACCGAGGCCCATGTCGCCCCGACGCAGCACATCCAAAGGGCCTGCATTGAGCATCACCGCATCGAACAGCTCCGGTTTCTGGACCAATGCTGCCGCACTGTTCAAAGCACCTAGACTTTCGCCCATGAGGACCACTTTGCTAGCCCTCAACTCAACTCTCAGATGTCGTGCGGCGCCATGGATGTCGTCAATTACTCGTTGTCGATTTTTTCCACATGCAGCAGCGTGCCATTTGTGTCCATACTCGCCGCCCCCACGGACATTCGCGACCGCGAGCGTCCCACGAAATCCGTCCATGAAGATGGAAAAGTCAGGTCTAAAGTGTGGAATAACAGAGATTCCATTGCCTCCGTAGACGTAAAGGAGAACGACAGCCGAAGAGGAGATATCGTCGGTATCCTGCGCGGTGATGAACATGGGGATTTTGGTCTGGTCGGCTGAATCGTAGAAGATTTGCCTAGTCTGTGGAGAAGACTTCCGGACGTCTCTTTCGTGGTGGAGTGGAAAGATATTGACGGGTCGAAAGCGCAGAATCTTGGCCCTAGATCCTCGGGTATCGAACATGACTTGGGCGCTCCAAAGTTTTGGAGGATCACAGAATGAGTTGTCCAGGACAAGTACTGACGCCGAATCAGCATCGTAGCTGAGGTCGATGATTGTCGAAAATGGTAGATGGTCGAGGGTTTGTACTAGTTCGCCAAAGGGTGAGAAGACTCGAATTTGATGCTGCACGTCGACCGAGTACACAACCGCGATGTGCCCGCCACGTATTACTCTGGCCATAACCATCGTAAGCTCCGGAGTGGATGGAACGACAGTCTCAAGAGTTGCTGTCTCTGGTATGTAGTTCACGACTTTCCCATTGTCCTGGGAGGTCCAGAAGATATGGCCTTTGGCAAGGTTTGCAACCTCGGCCGCCGGCCGGATACCAATATAACTGTTCATCGTGTGAGCGAAGTGTCATAAACGTAGAATGCTTGCAGTGTCACACATACTCCCATTCAGCGGATATCCCTCGAGATACTTCCATGTTGAAATGAAGGTTGAGCTTGTCGCTAGGCTTCCGAGTTCCATTTACAGAGGCTGCCAATACTACACCTGCTCTGCTTTTGTCATAGATGTCGAGGAAGACAAGCTCTCCATCCAACGATACATGTGCTTTGAAAGTTTGAACCGACCTATTAGGATCCCGATAGATGATCTCGTCATCCTCTTGTTTGGCTCCGATGGGATGAAATCTTAGTGTCGATGGTACGATTCCTACCTTGCTCTCGGCATCTTGAGGACAGTGTAGGTAGAATATACCCTCGTCAGCCATCCAGCTAATGACAGAGCTCGGTTTATATGGCAGCTTAGCGTCTGACAACTCGTCCTTGAGGACTTCGCCCGACTGTACATTCTTGAATCGAATAACTCCCGAATCGGACCCGTCAACACTGGCCAAGAAAGCCCAATACTTCCCAGTCTGGCTGAATGACGACGCCATGGTTGCACCGCCGCTGGACGACTCGTCATGGAAGACTGCAGGGTCGTGTCGAGGAGTCTTGAAGTCGACCAATGTATCCATGCTGATCTGGTAAGATCTAGGATGTTCGCTACCTCGGCCCGCCACCCGGACGATATAGTCACCAGTGGGAAGCCTCTTCGGTAGTTCCCTGACTACCGGAAGCTTCCACAGCGAGAGTAGACTTTTTTGAAGACGTTCTCTGGGTGTTTCCAGCTTCGCATCACTCAAGTAATCAATTGTCGCTTTGTTTTCTGCTTCGATGAATGCCTGCGTCTCTGGACTGCTCAAGTTCGTCATCCAGTTATAAGGGTCGGCGAGTGACACGGATCCATGCCGAACGCTTTGGAATATAGTGACATGGTCAGATCGATGAACTTGAGGATTTTCTGTTGTCTGTGGCGCCATACTGAATAATGGTATTCATCTCTTCTACTGTGTCGTAGAAAACAGCTATGATGGTCGGTCATCAACATTCCGTAAGGCATTTATAGCACAGTGTCAGCTTAATCCTGGCCTCTTCGTGTGAGTCTAGAGGTTGGATCTCTTTACCAGAGTTCATTGGTAGCCTTTTACCTCGGTTCAAGGGTTAGTTCAAACTGACCAAACAGGAACGCCACAGATATTTTTGATCCCATCGTTAATGTGTCCGGTCACCGGGCGGAAGACGCGTGATGCCCGACCCTCCACACCACCGAGACCACTGCTGGAACAATTATTGCTTTTCGACAAGGCAGGCTAGCATCGTTGGGGTGTTGACGCCCGTGGGATGTTGCAAAGCGTACTTTTGATTAGAAAAGAATTGCTGAGGGATGATCACTGAACCCTCGAGGCTGGGTTCCTCGCAGAGCCAAGACACATTACAGGATGTAAAGACATGTATACAATTAACGTGTCTACTGAGTTCTGAGTTCTGAGTGTTATTCTTCGCATCAGTCCATATAGTCTCGCTGCATCTGTCACTGCAACATTCCATTCGACTCGCCGCTCTCAATTGTGGCCCTCTTTGTGGTTTCTGCAACTCCCTCCGGAGTTCTTCTGGGCAATCGAAGGGGTTCCTTGTTTCTTCTGCATCAGGTCATATATCGGAAGATAGGGTTCTCCTTATCTGTCAGGTCAGCGAGCGCAATGCTAGGATCTGTGATATATTCTGGATGCTCGTCCCTCAATCGAGCCTTCTTCGAATTCGCGCGGTGATAATGCAGTCTAGTCCAGATTAGAATCAATTCCGCACAGCGAGAGTCCCCACGTACCGTAACAACACGAATCCCGCTGCACTTGCACACAGAAGAGAAAGAGTTGAGATCTGACCAGTCGGATATCCTCGAGCGGCCTCATCACTTTTATATGCCCAGGGTCCCGCAAACGCACCACAATTTGCAAAGACAAATACTGTGGCATTGACCACGGTCTTTTTGGAGTACCCTGCGACATTTGAGGATAGCAGAGCGAACATTTGCACAAGGGCTCCGTAAACCACCGTTGACTAGATGTGGGGTATTGTCAATGAACTGTAGACAAGAATAATCACGTCAAAGGGGATAAATGGTAACTTACAATGTACAGCCCACCAAGAAGAGCACCTTTATTAGATCTGTCGCTCTTCCACAGCATTATGTTACCAACCATGGCAGGGATCAGGTAGGAGGTCGCTATAATCAGCCTCTTGGTCGGAAAGCGAGAGCCCAGGTAGCTAGGGACCACAGTTATTAGCTTGGGGGCTATTCATCCATCAAGACTTCAGCCAAACTCTTACCCAGATGTAGTTAGAGACACTACTGCCACGGCACTCGCTGGCATGGACAATATAATGGATCGCTTGTTTGAGTAACCAAAGGAGGTGACTAAAAAGCCAACAAAGCTATGTTCAGAGGCAGATTAGCTCATGGACAACGTCGATGTGGCAAACTTGACATCGCACCTGCCGATAGACTGGTTGACAAAGGCGAAGGTGAAGCTGTAAATACATAACGCATAGAGTTGAGGATCCAGATAAGCTTCCCGAAGGTGGGACCACTTCCATTTGCGGGCCTTCAAGCCGGTATTGTTTTGGAGGAGTCGGCGCACGGCGATTTCTCGATGTCGCGCAGACAGAAACCAGGCATTCATCGGGGATGCTGGGAACAGTACGACCATGACAAAACCAAAGGCGATGGTAATGGGCCCGAGAATGACGTAGATCCACTTCCAAGGGCTCGTTGTGTATGCGCCTTTGATATCGATTGCACCAAGATCGATGCCTTGGCCGATCAGAGAGCCAAGGGCAGTGCCGGAGATGTAAATACCTGCTCGAAGGGGCTGCTCTGGACTCTTCCACCACATCGACGTCATCAGAATTGATAGCGGCTGCGTGAGAGTGGAAAGTCCAGTAAAGAATCTTAAGGCCATGATGTCGGCAAAATTCTTGCAGACAATCGTGAGTAAGGTCAGGAGGCCTGTGAATATTATAACCCCCCCGCTGAAGCGACCGATGTGAAGGTGCTGAACTAATAACAGAAGGGGATACTGCATGGCGACCGAGCCCAAGGTTGGGATCGCCGCTGTCCACTGATACCGTGACAGGTCGAGGTAGATTTCCCCGTGCTGGATCTTGGGAACAAAGAGATTCATGTCCTGGACGAGCCCGAAGATGGCTGCGAATCCATATGCTTGACTGTCTGAGTATGCAATGATTGCCGCAAAGAAAAGCTGCTTTAGATGTCAATCTTGTCACTATGATATGACTTGTTGACCGAGAGAACCTACCAAGGGGAGAATGACAAGGTCGATTCTCCTCAAAACCATTGCTTCCTCTTCCGAGGTCCAGGTGATGTTTTGGTGTTCTATGGCAAAAGCCAACGCGTTGTCGGCATGTTGTACACTGACCTTATCCTCGTTGACATTGCCCCCGACAGTTTCAGCATGCGACGATGTGGCTGGGTTGATAGTCATGGCTTGAAGCTCACCCATCTTCAAAATATTTCTCCTGGGCCAGTATGAGAACTCAGAACAGTAGAAGAGAACTCTCTAATACACAAGGCATGGCAGTTCGTGACTTTATAATCCTGTCTCCGAAGCAAGCTTGTGCCGGTGACGATGGTTAACCGAGGCCTCACCCGGGGCCCCAGACACGGGGACCTCTGGAGTTGCTCCATAATCTTTGAGATCAGTCACACCTACATCTCGTGTCCTCCAATGAGTCTAGATTCAACTCCGAAGCAGAAGAATTCTGGGCGGCAGGTGACAGGAATCTGACCGGCCACCGGTGACCTGTGACCCACTTCAGGTGGCCGGTTGAGCTGGCCAATCAAACGTTGGTTCGATGTCGACCGGCGAACTCGCAAGCCGAATAGTGTGAAGTCGGAGCCCGGCAGCAGATGAAGACCAGGAGGCCTTAACCTGCTGGTCTAATCCCGAGTTAGACTTATCCGTCCGTACTCAGAAGACGCTTAAACGACGGTGTCCTCGCGAATGATGGAGCAAATAGCACTTTCTCAACACCGCTTCCTTCTTCACATCATTCCCGTCATCTACTACAGTCAAGCACCATGCTTCGCAAGGTCATAGAATTAAGCAGTGGTTGGAGGTACCGGGCAGTGGATGAGTCGTCTTCATCACCACCAACCGCCACGAGCATTTGGCGGACGTGTCGCTCGCTTCCTACTGAGATCCATTTAGACCTTCTCAATGACAACCTCATACCAGACCCGTTCATCGGAAAGAATGAAGAAGCCCTGCAATGGGTCGGAGAGACAAAATGGGAGTACGAGACTAACCTCACCGTCCCTGCTGACGCGTTGGTACCTGAATCGCGTACGGTCCTCGTGATGGAAGGTCTCGACACATTTGCCACGGTTACGCTGAATGGAAAACCCATATTGCAATCCGCCAATGCTTTCATGACGCACAGAGTAGGGCTCACGCGCGACATGTTCGAGACGAACGAGGGTAGTAACCTCCCGAGCAGCTGTAACGATCATGATGAATCCTCCGTCACAGGCATTCTTCGTATCGTTTTCGCCAATGCGGAACAATGTGGCCTCGAGATAGTGAAACAGCATGCTGAGCACGGTTGGTTCTCCCTGGGCAGCAGTATTACGCGTCTGGCCACCAGAAAGCCGCAATATCATTACGGCTGGGACTGGGGTCCAAAAATCATGACCTGTGGGCCTTGGAGGCCAATTTATGTCGAATACTATACGTCCCGCATTGCGGATGTTGCAATAAGCTCATCGCTGAGTGCAGATCTTCAAGAGGCCATTGTGGAAGTGTCAGTTGAGGTTGATGGGCTGGCCGAGCATTTTGTGATGGACCTTCTGTTGCATGGGAACGTGGTTCACCACGAAGTTGTCCCTGTTCGAGAACGAATTGGACGAATTCAGATGAAGCTTGCGACTCCTCAGCTATGGTGGCCCCATAGTCTGGGACCTGCGACAATGTACTCTGTTCAGTTGTCTTTGTATGCCACCCAAGATGCCGAATTTCTGATTGTCGATCAGACGGAAAAGTCATTCGGTATTCGAAAGGTAGAGCTGGTACAACGTGGGCTCGAGGATCAGGACGGGGACTCGTTCTTCTTCAAGGTCAACAACATCCCAATTTTTGCTGCGGGGTCGTGCTGGATCCCAGCCGACTCGTTTCTCTCCCGTATCAGTCCCCGTCGTTATCAAGACTGGATCCAACTGGCGCGGGACTGTAACCAAAACATGATTCGAGTTTGGGGAGGCGGCATCTACGAAAACCCTGCCTTTTACGAAGCATGTGATCGGCAGGGGATGCTCGTTTGGCAAGACTTTATGTTCGCGTGCGGCAGCTATCCTGTCCATGAGGAATTTCGTCGGCAGATTGTTGCTGAGGCAGAGCAGAATGTCCGCCGCCTAAGACACCACCCGTGTCTGGTGCTCTGGTGTGGCAATAACGAAGACTACGTTATCTACCCTCTCCGGGGCATTCAGTACGATGCAACTGAAACGAGCCCCGAAGCGATGTTCAAGTCGATACTTCCCGCCCGCTACTTCTACGAGCATGTCTTGCCCACGATCTGTGCAGACCTGAACCCGGGCACCCCTTATTGGCCCGGTTCCCCATTTGGAGGAGCCATGGTCAACTCTCCTCTTGAAGGCGACATCCACCAGTGGCATGTCTGGCATTTTGAAATGTTCCCCTATCAAGACTTCTCTCGCCTGAGTGGTAGGTTTGTAAGCGAATTTGGCATGCAAGCTCTTCCGTGTTTGGAAACCGCCAAAGAATTCTTTCCAGTAGAAGGCCCTTGTACTGCATCTGAGACCGATGTACTGGATAATCAATTCTTGAAGTGGCACAACAAAATGGCAGATGGCCACGACAGACTACGTCATTACGGACGAGCAAACATCAGCTTTGGAACGTCCGCGCTGGACGATGTCATATACAACACTCAGTTGATCCAGGCGGAAGCCGTAGCAACAGCATACCGATCCTGGCGACGCCTGTGGCAAGGGCCAGGCAAAGAGTACTGCTCAGGGGCATTGGTTTGGCAGCTTAACGACTGTTGGCCTGTCACTTCGTGGGCAATCGTGGACTACCACCTTCGGCCGAAAATGGCATACTGGGCCATGAAACGTGAATGTGCATTCGTAACGGGCGGCTTGAGCAGAATCACCAAGAACGGGGGTGCACTGGCTCTCGACTATTGGGCAGTGAACATGACCCAGAACGAGGTCAAAGCCAGTGTTACAATCCGAGCGTGGCTAGTAGGGACTGGAGAGCAAGTTCTCGAACAACAGCTTCATGATAGTGTTAGTCTTCAACCGAATCGAAGCGTGGACCTTGGAATCCTCGGTGTTGACGACTTAAAGCTACCGACCATTCAGCAGTATCGAGACATTGTATTTGCACTCGTCGTCGAGCTGACTGAAACAGAAGAGAATTTACCCAAGACGGTGCAAGCAGTCAACTTCCACGATCCCCTTCGTGAGGTGCCTTTCCCGAGCTACAATGCCAAGGTTGACGTAGCCATATCGCAATCCGCTGCGGGAATATCCGTGCGGGCAAGGGCTACAGTCCCAATGAAAGGTCTCTTATTTGAAGTGGATGGAGATCCGAATGCGAAGTGGGATGATAATGGCATTGACCTGATACCGGGACAGATAGCCGAGTTGAGATATTTGGGTCAAGGTCTCAGACCAGGCCAGGAGAGTAGGCTTCGAGCACGATGGTTGGGAGGCTCCCTGGATCAGTTGTCCCATCTGAGACCGTCTTTGTGAGCAGCGGTGACCTCGAGCGGGGTAGAGAGACCATCAGGTGGTCAGGTAGTTATTGGCGAGAAGAATGAAAAGCGGCTGTAAGAGAACACAGGGCAGCAAAGGTGTTGCTTGAGTTTGGATCAATCTGACTCGTGGATCACCGATTGCTGACAAAGCCCAAAAACATAGAAGAGTGACCATCTGAGACTACTTGTGGTGTAACCTGCAGGCTCCTCCTTGCTTTGATGTGAATTGGGTTTCGACAAAACTCAGGGTCAAGATGACAGGAATTAGAATTACGGTAGCAAATCAAGAAAGTTGGTTGTCCACGGGCGATCGGTAAACATCAACATAAAGAGTGGCCAGTCCTCTGAGTGAAGTCTGTTTTATCATCGTGTGCAGCATAACTGCTCAAGAGAACGCGCGACGCATGCATAGCAAATCTTGTGACGCGCGTCTATGTTGTGCTAGTTCTTCTTGTACTGGCTCTGATCTGACATTGGCCACCTGATCAGCCGGATGCGTCGTGGATTTCAGTTGATCCAATCTGTCAAGAACGACGCCACCGTACCGGGGTGGATTGGTGCTGCTTGCAACAGCCATCTCTTGCAAGAAGATGCCCGTGTGGTAGACAGTCTCGAGGTAAGGCGAAAGTGCAGTGGACGATGCTCCAAAAAGGTCGACTGCGTTGATAATGTAAAGACAGCAAAAGGCTATCAGAGCAAATGCCTGATCTGGAATGTACCTGAGTTTTTCGCGTCGCAATGGAGGCATGTCTAGGTACGGTTTGAATACGTCGCACGCGGCTTGAATAGTCGACAATAGCGACCTGCGAACAGTGTCATTCATGTCAAGTCGCGTGGTCTTTCGAGCAGTCGTAACTCTGCGCAAGTTCCAGCCAGTGATGAAACAGCCAATGTGAAACCTCGTGGCTCGCAAGTGAAATTCAACTGCGGCATTTCTCGTGACATCCAGGTCTGAAACGGTTGCATATGCCTCACCGCGGACACCCCACCGCTGAGCCCACAGTTCGAGCGCAGCAGCGACGTCCTCGGAAATGTCACTGGTATCGTCGATGTCAGTAGCGGAAGAAGGCGTACACCACCATTCCGCAAGCTCAGGCAGGTATCGGCCAGCATGACTCCACAGCATATAAAGATCGACCTCTGCCACAATGCGGGTCACTCTGGAAGGCTTTGAAATGTCCTTGAGCAATTCTGTCGCTGTTGTTATGGAGACGTCAGCGCGTATCGACGGGGGTGTTCTTGTCATGAGAGAAAAGTGGTGCGACATGGTAAACAGCCATAACCAGTAGGTGTAATCTTGGAATGCCCGGCTGTCAGCCATGTTGGTAGTCGAACCTTCCTCCAGAAGCGAGCGAACACTCTCCAGAGATCGATGCAGTCCGGCTCGTAAAGCGAATGATTCGACAAATGATTTGAGATCCCAGTGGCTGAGCTGATCACTACGTGAATGTGGAAGATTGAAAATGTCTGTTACAGGCTGATAGGCGTACAGTATCGCGAATGCTTGAAGCTCTGTCCACAGCAGATCCTGGTCGGATGGAATCCGCCGCTTAGAAAGATGGATGAATTCGGTTACACGAGCCAGCAGGGGCGCACGCACCCTTGCACATCCAATAGCATACTGCGCCGCGACATAGCCGGCACAGTAGGCCAAACACGGTCTGTTTCGAACCACTGCAAGAGGATCGTCGAAATCGGTGTCGCCGACGACAGGAATATAGTACAAAAGTCTAGCACGGAAGCTTCATATTCCCCCAGGTTAGCATCCAAAGTCTGTCTGCCATGAGCAACTCACAATTCAAGTAATTCAACTAGGGTTTGCTCGGTGATGGTCGGCCGCGACAAACCAAGTGGGTTTTGGGAATGTGAAAAGACACTGAAATTTTCGTCTTCGTGTCTAAGAGAGCTCAGTTGTCTCGCTGGAGACAGTTCGATTATGGCGGAGCTGAGCGCGACAAAAGGTGACTGTGCAGAGAAAGAGGAAGGGTCGGGGTCATGGCTTTCGGTCACGGTCATCGGGTGTTGAGGAGAGGGGCGTGGGCCAGTATCTTGGGAGCTGCCCGGCGGCGTGGTGGCCATAAGATGAACACCATCGAGGACGTCGTGGTGCGACTCCTGAATATTCGGCGTCATGACATTTTGGCTACGGACACCTCTCCGCGAAGCCCTGACCACGCAGGATTTGCCTGCCTTTTCACAACGACGACATGGGGGGTTGTCGGCGCCCAAACACCGCATCTAGGATTCGTCAGACACTGAGAACGACACGGTCTGTGGATCACCAACTTTCAAGCGTCGACATTCAATGCAAGCAACAGCAGCGGACCCAGCGGGGGCATTTGTTGATGTCGAGGACATGGCTCGTCAAGAACCTGATTGCTATCGCTGTCGGGGTTGTTACAGCGGCAAAGATCATGGCCCATGTGCCATCGGAATGAGAAAGCAGCGCTACGCAGCACAAAAACACCAGGCTGGAAGAAACATACTCAGCCGGTGTACGAGGTGTAGAGGCGTCTTGTAGAAGTGGCGCGATGACTTGAGACATAATATTGATGGTGTGGAAAGGGCTTTTGCAGCAGCACGCGGTAGTAGCCGAGGTTCGCAAGCATCTTATTAATCGCTTGCACGAGGCAAATGGGTTGACGAGGCTCCGGTTCAGCCTCGCTAAAGTATACTGTACAGAAGCATTGACTCGGTCTATCAGAGTAGAAGACTTTCAAATACATCCTAGTCTTGGCTTGTCATTGAATTGTGATGACGAGGTGACCTCATGTTGGCTCTCCAGACAGACAGGCTTTAGCATCAAGGGAGGTGATTGACTCAATAAGGGGATCCGCTAGATAGATGGTGCGTGGCAGTACTTTTCCGGTGCTTCAATATATATTCCACGACAGAGAATATACAATAGGTGTAGGCACTAGTATTTCTACAGGGCTTTGCGTGGCAGAGAAGCATGTACACTGTATACACAGCTCCCACTACAGTGTGACAGTATCACAGTGCAACTGCGACACGGTTGGTCTGGTATGCCTTGATACTTGGCATGAGGGTACACGAAATGATGGCCAAGGCACCGAAAGGAATGCTGCAATACCAGACATACTTGAGTGCGTATGCGTATGCCCATTTCGTGCCGATCGTTGCAGCTGCGGCGATTTCGGGGGTGTAGCCAGGGGTAGTAGCAAGAGTTGCAGGGGCGGTTAAGAAAGCAGTCACAAACCCAGGTGCGTCTACGACAGACAACCCTGCCTTGATAGCGTACTCGGCAACTTTCTCAGGTAGTGCCTTTGTAAGTTTGTTAACAAAGACATTGTAGTAGATACTGAAACCGATGGAGCCGCCGATGGTTCTGATGGAGAGAGACAGTGCCGCGGTGGTGGCGAGAAGGGTGTCAGGCACGACAATCAGAGCAATCGTCGCTGAAGGTACAAGCACGCCGCCAATTCCAAAGGAGCCAATGGTACCAAAGGCGACGGCCATCTTGGCTGTATCGGGTGTTGTCGCCGCCAATGCGCCAGCAAACGCAGCTATAGAACGGTCAGCTGAAAACAGAGCATAAAGAATCTCGCCACTCACTCATGAGAACTGTAGCGACCAAGAGGATAACCTTGGCAGGAATCTTGGTTGAGAGCAGTGCATTGAAGAACACTGCACCAATAGTTGTGGATATCCCATACCCTAGTCCCTTCAGTCCGACCTGTACTGGATCAGGATCATAGACAGCACCGAAGGAGAGCGGGAAGAAGTTGATGACGGAGTAAAAGTCCATCCCGGCGACAAAAGCGATGAAGAAGGCTAGGCCGACGATTCGCTGACCCTGAAACATCTCTTTGGGAACCATGGGGAACTTTGCAAATTTAATTTCCCACGCGATCCAAGCAGCGATGAGCAAGATCCCGATGAGTAGTTGTGCAAGGACATAGGCGCTGGCCCAAGGATGGCTATAGCCGCCTGCCTGTAGAGCAACCAGGAATATGGTGATCCCCGTGATGGATAGAACTGCACCGACATAGTCAATTCGCGCAAGAATCTTGCTCTTGGAGAATCCTTCCATTCTTGGATGTGCCTTGGGAAAATAGGTCGTGGCAAGCCCAATAAAGACGAGACCGTTCCAAATGAGAGAGATCCACTGGCCCCATCTCCAAGTGTGATACGTCGACAATAGTTGAGAGTACATCACATACGGCGTGAATGGGATAATGCATCCCGTCATCAAAGCCAGTGCGAGACCTCGTTTGCGAACGGGTACAATGTCTGAGATCCCAGCGAGAGCTGTTAGTTCGCAGATGCCAGCGCCTGCTCCCGACAGTGCCATCCCAGCGACACCCATTGGGAAGTTCTGTGCGCCTCCAATCAAGCAAATTCCAACCATAATAATGATGGACCCGACAAGTGTTATGTTTCGTCGGCCAAGGAGGTCCTGAAGGTAGCCAGTGAAAGGTGCCACGGCTGTAATCGCTAGAGTATTTGCCACTGGCAACCATGAACCGTTTTTCTCTGCGTGTAGATCGGTTTGGATAAAGGCTAAGCAGCCGCCGACAAAGTACAGCATGATTTGGGAACCTAGGGAGACGGGTCAGCATCCAAGCGGCAAGAGCTTGAGCGGCGTGCAGTTAGTCGTACCCGTGTAAAGACCCCCCAGAGAAAGTGCGGCTATGATGGTTCTGAAAGTCCAGTCGACCTCACCATCTGAATCATCACCCTTGTGAGCAAGGTCGTTGTGCACATGCAATGCATCGTGTGTTTCGTGTGTGTCGGTTCTATCAAGCTCATGGCGAGAGTCGTAAGCTTTCTCCTCAGCAGTGGCGCTCTCTGCCTTTTCATTGCTGAAGGAGCTCATGTTGCTGCGTGGATGGCGTACAAGCCGTCGATTCTAGCAGCTAAGGGAACGTGTCCACTGTCGTGGGAGAGGATAGGCACAGGATGAAACGATGGCTATCAAGACACAAGAATGGCTGATTTGTTTCTCTCTATACTCGACCAAAACCTGCCGGGCAGGCCGGGGTCTACATTTAAATAGAAGCATGCTGCCGTCTATGTGCGACGACCACAACTAGCGTTATAATTTACCCATGGGGCCCCAGAGGTGTGTTCCTGGAGCTAGACGAGTAGCACCACTGACTCGTAAAGCTTGAATCAATATTACCAAGGGGCAAAGAGGTAAGAATCTGGAGCACGTGGGATGAGTATGCGCCGCTGGGTAAAGTCCTGACATGGCAGCTTGAGTCAGAAAGCACAACCAACAGATGTCGGAACCGATGGTCGACAGTCTTCGACTACAAAGGCCCTTGGAGCTTCGGGCCATTCCTGATGACGACTAGCAGCTTCTTGACAGGGTTCTAGCCCCCTAGGACATGCGAGGCAATGCTCGAATTATTGTGCCGAAAGTCTGTAGGGTTTAGCACCACTCCTCGGCATAATAATCTGGGCATTGCCTCGTACATAGGCGCCGTAGTCGATAGTCTTTTGCTATCTTATGTCGCTTTATGCGGAGAAGCGGTTATGAATCCTGGGGGTGGAGGTCGATCTTGGGCCCAAGAAGGGGAGCTGAGAGGAGATCGAAGCCTTTACCTCGGCTTAGCGGATCAACGACATGCCCCAAGATCTTCGTCTGACCTCTTATGGACACTCCAGTAGTTGGCGACTTTGGGACCAATCGACCTAACCCTCCAAAATCGTGTCTGCCGCAATAGCCGGAGATGTCGAGATCGCGGACTACAAAGTCCAAATTGACGGACGCCCAGCTGCAGCGAAAGCGCGAGTGCGACAGGGAAGCCCAGAAGCAGATCCGCCTCAAGACCAAAACGCGGATTGCGCATCTCGAGAATCTTGTGGCAACTCTACAACAATCTGACGGGACACGAAGCCAGGTTAGTGACCTAGTGCGTCAAGTCACCAAAGGCCACGAGGAAATCACTCGATTGCGCGAGGCTTTGCGAGCTATAGGAAAACAAGTGGAAGGCTCCCTTCGGTCGTCAAGTCGAGACTCTACACAACTTGTCGGAGAAGATCCTGGTTCACGTCCTTATACCTCTAACGACGAGGAAGTCTTTCCTGACTTTGTAGACTCGCTTGAGCAGCAGAAGTCTACAGATGGCTCGCCAACAAATACAGACGACCCCTCCCAGCCCGAGGACGCTCAAAGGGAAGGTTGTAAGAGTGCACGCATCAATAACACCACTGCGCATGCCGAAAGCATCAACGCACACGTTGATAGCACCGACACACTAGAGCTGTCTATCGTTAACATGGTCGCTGGGACAGATGAAAGTATCACTTCACTACATCTGGATCTGAGCACACCTGAGATGCCACTCGACACTCTCACAAGTGCAGAGAGCAGCCTTGCCTCTCTCCCCATCTCCGAGATGGCTGCTCAGATCACTCAAGACAAATCTCTCGATGGCAGACTTTGGTACCTTGCTGGTACCTTGCTCAACCTTATTTTGGCCGTCGAGGACAAGGAGCGAACACCGGATGAATATAACGATGATATTCCTATTCGGGCAGTTCTTCATGGCTGGCCTGCCGTTGCTGCTCGGTACACACTAGACCTCGGGTGGCAGTGGATACGACAATTGGACGAGAAGATGTACTCTTCCTTGGGTGTTCCAGAAAGACTGTCGGTCATGAGGTTAATGCGTATTCAGTACCAGGTAAGTCATAGGCTCTGCGTGACAAGTCATCCGCCAACCGTGAGCGACAGGTCCAAGCTCATCCGGACACGATGTCTTCTGTTACAGTGCCGAGCTTCATGGTTCCAAGGCCAGCTCAGGCTCATATACAGCATGATCCTCTCATCGAACACTGGGTATGGCCAGGCCTTCGAGAACAACTCCTGTTCAACCCGTTCATGTGCGCCACGAACCGGTTCATGGACAATTTCCGTGAATCCCTCCACTTCCTATGGCCTTTTGATCCGACAGACGCCTATTGCCGGAACTCTCTAACAGGCATGTATTCGTTTTCGACGATGTTTCTGGATCGTTCAAGCGATTTGAGATCTCACTGCCTCAGCAAAAAATTCCTCGATTTGTTCCCGCAATTGAAGCCAGACATCCCATCATTTGATGTGTCACTGTGGAATCAGAATCTTTTGTTAACAACAACGTTGGACTCGGCAATAAGTTGGCAATCAAAACCATTGACTCCTGAAGAAGACAGTGACGACTTGTTGCCTCTGGAGCTATACTTGGACAGCCATAAGTGAGACTAATGAAACTGGAACCTCCAAAACCATGGCCTTTAGCTTTCTACATGTGCTAGAAACGTGCTGATTTGGGATTTGGAAATACAATGATCGGAAGGCTCCAGGAAACACCATGATGTACATAGTCCAGACATAGGAACATTCCACACGCACATTAGCATCATATACCTAAAGGAGAGACTTTTGATCTTCATGATACAAGGGAACGAAACCACGATGCACCGACGCATGTTTTCGTGTCCGAGACTTAAATCATTGTTTGCAGTTCTCCAAGTCTGTTTGAGCACATGCGTGAGGCCGAGTCATGCACCATGACTCTTCCTGATCACGGGGTGCAAACCTAATTTTCGAGCCATGTGAGGTTTCGGATCCGAAACATCTTTATAACTTACCTGTAGAGACGTACTTACGGAATGTTTCCTCGGTTTGGCTGTGAGTTGTGCCCTCGCTAATACTAGACATGGGTACTACCGATGTTAGTCTCTTACGGTCTTGAAAATATTGGAATACCATCAGGGGAGTGGCCGATAGATTTACCTAAAGTTCAGAGCCAGGAAAGCTTCGATTCGATCTTCGTGGAGTGGCGTATCCTCTACTCTGACCGTAAGAGGAACACCCTGACAGGAGGGTGCTCATCAGACACGTCACAGAGGTCTTCCTCTAGCTGATATAATCACTCAAATAACACCATACTGGACAGTGCTAAGAGAAAAGGAGCAGGTCTTCATGAGATTCCTGTAGAAGTATAATCCGCCTGCGCTCGGTCCCACGCATATTCTTCGTACTGATTTCCCTCTTGAGCACTATCCAACCGTTTTCAACCGCTGCCGCAGCCACCAACCACTACCTAATAAGCCCAGGCTGCTGAATGCCATCATTGTGCCGGCAGCGCTAGCATTGACTTCAAGTCCCCATCCTCTTCCGACACCCATAGCCAAGCTTATGGCTGTTGCATTATACACGACAGCAAACATTATATTCCGCCTTGCCTGCGCCTTTGTCATCCGTGCAATATTCATTATTCTTGGAAGTGAAAGCAATGTCGGGCTCATCACCAGGATGTCCGCAGCTCCAGAAATGGTAATAGGAGATGGAGAAAGCAGAATCCCGACATCAGCTGCAGCCTGGGCTGGACCATCGTTGATCCCGTCGCCGATCATAGCAACTTTGGCGCCCTGGGCTTGGAGTGCAAGGATATGAGAGTGTTTCTCGGCAGGAAGGGACTTCGACGCGAGTACTGGAATAGAAAGCTGGGATGAAACACGGGCAGCTTCGAGAGGCGCATCCCCGGTGAGCATGGAAACTTCCAACCCTAGAGACTTCAACGTAGACACCACGTTGGCAGCTTCGGCGCGAACAGCGTCCTGAAGATGGATGCTTCCAGCAAAGGCGAAATTTACGGCGAAGTAGACCTCCATGGTAGACTGATGGGTCGGAAAGGAGTTTTGGGGCGCCACCGGGATCCGACAATTGTGGAGGAAATCCATGCTTCCAATATGAACTGTCCGCCAGTTTTCGTGGGCGATCTCTACTTCGCAAGACAGTCCTTTACCCGGATGACTGGAAAAGTTACGAACTGCTGTAGTGGCTAGATATCGCTTCTCTCTGACGTCCATCTGACGGAGGGCCCACTGGAACAATGCTCTGCCAACAGGGTGAAACTCCGCTTCGGTACGTTCTGCAGCACACACAAGGCGATAACAGAGTGACTGATCCGTTCTGAAAAACGCGGTAAATTCAGCACCAACAACTTGCAAGCGACCTTCTGTGAGAGTTCCCGTCTTGTCCATCACAACATGAGTGAGCTTGGTCAGATTCTCGATCGTCCGTGCACCATTGAGGAAGAGGACTCCCTGAGACCAAGCAGCATCTATCCCAGCCATCGACGCCGAAGGCACTGCGAGGCCGAGGACGCAAGGACATGCTGCAGCTAGAATTGCCATGGCTCGCTCGCTTGCGACGTTAATACGTTGTAGGATAGAAAGGCCAGGCTCACTGCTCACGTAAGACATAGCGAATCCTACCGCAGTCAGGATAAGAATCCCTGTGACAAAGTAGGTCGTCGCCAGGACCATTCTCTCTTGTCCATTTAACTTTTGTTCCGCTGCAGCAGCTATACTGTCGATTAGCCTGTGGAGCGAGGAATCATATTGCTCTCTGTGGACAACAGCGACCAGTGGTGCGGATAGGTTTCTCGTGCCAGCACATACAAAGTCGCCTGCGGTTCTTTTCACCGGTAGAGACTCGCCGGTCATAGTAGACTGATCAACAGTGGACATACCGTCGAGAATGTAGCAATCGCAGGGGACAACCGAGTTTGGTGCAAGCACAATCTCCTGCCCGACACGAAGAGATGCAGCGGGGATGTATGTGCCGCCGTTGAGTACTTTGACCACCGCTGCTTCTGATTCCATCCTGTAGAGAATTGCCAGATTGGCCATATTCTTCTTCTTGAGCAAAGCATCTAGGTACTTGCCTCCAATGATGACCGTTGCCAGGAACGAACCCGAGGTAAAATATGTTCGACCAAGCTCCACTCCTTGAAGCCCTAGGTTGAATAATGACAATGTCATTCCAAGTAGCAGTGATAGTGATGTCAATGTGTCCATGGTGAATAGACCCTGCTTTCCACGAGTCCATGCAGACCTGTGGGTGAACCGAGAATCAAAGAACTTAACCCATGAAGACAAGAGCAGACTGATCACCAATAGCGACGTAGTGTACTGTCTGCCCCATCCCCGTGCAGAGCATGTTGCTCGTAGACGCTCAGTCAACAAAACCGCAGACGAGGACAAGGTTGCTGCATTGAAAGATCTCCGCAACGATGATAACTCCTCGGTTCGACAAAGCAAGCGAAAGGTCTCGTTCGATGGTCGTTCGTATAGCTGTGCGCCATAGCCCACTTGTTCCACCTCTCTAATCAAATCCTCTGGAGATGTCTTCAGCGCATCATACACTATAGTTGCTGTTTCCAGAGATAATGAGACATCAATTTGCTCAACACCTTGGATTTTCTGGAGGACTCGCTCGATGGTGGCTGTACAGGTTGCACAAGTCATTCCAGTAATGACCAGATGCGTCGAAGTGAGCTGTACGCCCTCCTCTTTCGTTTTCCAGCCATCGTCAAAGTCATTGTATTTAATCTCAAGCAGCTTAATATCGAAATATTCGCAGGTGGCGATGAATCTGTTGATCACGAACGCAGCAAGCAAACAGCAAGCCATGCTGATGCTAGTAAGCTGACTGCTTTCGCCGTAGGCTGCTGATTTAACCAAAATCTCGAACAAGTGCGAGGCCGTCCAGGAAGTTCGTAACCGAAAATATATGTGGGGGCCCCCCTTGCCTAGAGCTGTGCATCGTGTGTGATCAAATACAGCCGCAGAAGCCTGCGGAACGAGTCATTTGGCTCGAGTCGCACTTCCAGTTTGTCAACTTATAGTTCCATTCTACATCGATCATTCAGCTTGTCAAAACTTTTGATTCGTCAACGCTCGATTTTAACATCCCGAGGTCCCTCATGTCCTGCATCTTGTGAAGTTGTGGTTTGAGATTAAACAAACTATAGATTTTGCCTATATGCGTGATTCACTTACTCGTAGGCCTTCAACTTGCAAGAAACATGATCTGCGCCATTCTTTAGATGAAAACCTAGACTGAGTTTAGTTGACCAACTGCGGCGTCAAAGATAGAGCAGTCCGACCCTCCACTCTAACCTCAAACACGGCCTTGCCACCCTTGCTTGCAATGACGGACTTGCCAGCCAACTCGTATGCTTTCCCAGGTTGTAGGCGCTCAAATCCTAGCTGGAAAAAGCCAGCGTCTTTTCCGGGATAGAGAACAAGATCTAGACCATACCCATCCCGTGAATATGCTTTTGCGACCAGAACATCTGGGAATGGTGCTTCCGCTAAGATGGGCCCTTGCTTGACATTCTCCGGAGGTCCTTGAGTTATCATTTGCACCCAGTCTTGAAACCCGCTCAATCTTGCTCTCAGTGCCGTACCTTGCTCGAGTGTAGAAAGTCCTGTATTTTTTAGCGCTCCTGAAGCGGTCTCAAAGACGGGGTGATAATCCTCGTCAAGCTGCCGAAGCATCTCATCGCGAATGGCGTTGTCACCAAACTCGGCAGCTGCTGCGGCAAAGATGGCCCTAATCGCTCCTATTCCGGCTTTGTAGTTTCCAGGATCAATTTTATCAGCTCCCACAAGGTTTAACATCTCGATGGTGCCGTCTTCTTTCCACCTGAGAGTCTCACGTTTCGCAAATGCCCAATTCCGGTGGGCTATGTGAGGGAGATACGCGGCACACAGGATGGCATTTACACCGTCTGCCAGCGCGCCTGCTAGCCCAGGAATCTGCACATTTCAGGTCAGCTACGCATAGAGAGTTTCTTTGAAGCCCTTACTGTGAAACCGGTCAATTCACTTCGAATTGTCAAAATTGTTCCGTCGGGGTTGGTAAACTCCTTCTCAAGGCCAAGCTCGAAATTCTTTTTGATGTCCGAGGCATAGTTGACACCAAGTAGACGTTCCGCCAGGACCATACCACTGATTCCAACAAGATTACACATAGTGTAGATCCAATTTGGCTCGCAGCTGAACAGACAATACGAGCACTCTTTGAAATTTCGGTAGACTGCGTCGGCAATTTTTCGAAAATCGTACTTATATCTCTGTGTCTTGGTCACTTGAAACTCGAGAGATCCAGCCCGAGTATAGCGATCGTCGCCAGTGTTGGACTGATAGATGCCGACCGCTTGAAGAACGTAACCGGAGACCATGATATCATCCTTCACGATGGGATCCCAGTTATGGGCATTGAACTTTCCCCAGAGGCTTTCCCACTTCCAGAATCCCACAACTCTCTCGGTCAGACTCTTCTCAATGACATTCCGCATGGCTTGGGAAACGTAGCCATGGAAGTTGGGGGCGTAGATAAACTGGTACACTCCCAAGTCACTCACTGTCTCGTAGAGTTGATATCGGATTGCTGAAGTCTGAAACTGATCGATAATGTCATGATAGCTGAAGTCATCTTTTGCTGTCAAGCCAAGTTCGATGAACCATTGAAGAAATCTCAGAGTCTTTAAATCGAGTTCCCGAGATCCGGGTTCCGCTACTTCGCCTGCCGCCTGGCTTTGCTGCACTGATTCGATCAGATATTCGTTTCGTCTAGAACGCTTTATCCTTGCCTGGCTGTTGGCAGACTGAGTCCGATATGTGACGTAGGCGATACCGCCAAGGCATGTCGCAACCCAAAGAGGACCCGCGATATCCAACAAGGTGTCTCGAGCGAGCAAGGCAGCCAGACCGGACGTACCCGCCCACAGAAGAATAGGAAACAAGACACCTCCGGCTCCGAACCACGCAAACAAAGCCAAGGGGATCATTGTCGAGGAGATAACAAAGGCGATCATCGAAGGTAGAGTAAACACACCCACCAGGCCTGCTCCAGGGAAAACAAGCCCCAACCCTGCCGCCCTCACTTTGGGCGATTCAGCCTCGTAGAATGCGTAAAGCCCAACACCGGCCATCAGGACATATTGAGTCAATGTTCTGGTCTGATACCACCTTTTTACAGTTCCCTTGCCAGCATATTCTGGGATCAGTACATCTACAAGTCAAGTGGAATTAGCAAGGATGAGAAAAAGTGTGAAGAGTCGGTAGGCATCTACCTTTCCATTCGAAATTTCCTACAATCGACTCTGCACCTAACTTTTCGAGCTTGGAAGTTGAAGACATTGGTGACGATTGATCAGGACCAGATTTCTCCTGGAATGAAAAAGACAGTATGAGGGCATGCGCTATCGTGTGTAAAATGAACTGATGATGGATCTTGCTTCAGATGGATTTTGAACAGTCGTGGCGAGAAGGTAGCACAAAGTGCAGCAATCTGGTATTCGCAGTAGATACAGCCAAAAAACTCCAAACTCGAGACCCATCTTCAGTCCGCATAAATGGTCTGCTATTAATGACATAACGGCTTCGGCAAGAATCAGGCGGCTACGATTCAGCTACGCTGAATCGTAGTCAATTCTACTTGCGAACCTTCCCCACCACCTTGTCTGGTCCGCCAACAGCCGATTCGGGTGTGATATGTCAGGGAGTAGATTCAGACCTTGACAAATATTTGACTTATTATTGCGTCTTTGTGGCTCGAGAAAGGAGAACGAGTCTTGTGTGTGATTGATAAGACAATCTTGTTTCATCACAGAAACTCTATGATTCCCAGAGGTCCTGCTGATCTTTGTTTGTCTCAAGTTCATACAACTTGACTACGGGATTAGATCGGATTTTACAGGCAGCCAGAGCACCCTTGCTGCGCCATCATTGCTCGGTCTGTCTATGGTCACTAACAGCTGGCGGAGACACAGGTAGAGTTGTCCCAGCATACAACATCAACTCAGGACTAGCAACAGGGACGTGCAGTTCCTGTTTGAGATCCTTCCAGTCTGCCTTAAGCACGTTACGCAAACTGATATTCGCGAAATGCGTCATGGCAAGTAAGTGCTTTGGGCTTGGTGTCTTGCGGCCCACGAAGATCAGGTAGAGGCCGGCCTCTTGCTCCGTGTCTGGCTTCCAGCGAGAGTTAAACGTCTCTTTCCCACCCACGGGTAGACGTCCAAAGATGTGTCGATACACGCGCCGCGTGGCGCTGACTATCATACTGTTCATGTTCCAGATGGAGTCGGGCTCGCTGACCGGCTCGTGGCCCAGACCCAGGTATGTCGCACCAAGCTCGTGAAGATATGCCAACGACGCGAACACAAGGAGGTCTGAGGTTCCACGAGGAGCTGAGGAGGACTGAATAAACGGGTCAATGTGAAAGCGGCCCGTTTCGGAGCTTCCCATACGACGTAGCGCAGCGAAACCATTGATGCATCCTCTGGAGTCGGTGCTGTAGATGAACGTCATTAGATGGGGCATGGCAAACATGTCAAATACTGTGATGAATGCTTGGTTGTCGCGGCTGGTGTTGCGGCTATCACGCCACTCGTTGTAGATCCGAGTCAATTCAGCTTCGAGGTCCAGCTCGCGACCATTGGATGGTACGTAGATCCCCAGCGACAGGCCGCCTTTCGTGGGATCTAAGAGCTGTCTGCATTGTGCGGTTGTTCTTTTGCCACTCTTGCCCAGGAGCACTTCATTCGTCATGGGATTGAGGACCTTTTCTGTGCCGAACCGCATCGCAGGCCATTTCCGCAGCTTGGCGATTTCAAGCATGTACTCGCTGGCGCCGATGACAGACATCTTCCAGCGATTTCTGCGGCAGTACTGTTCGAATTCCTCCAGTACCGATGGCATAGCCGAGGGTGCGCACAGTGGATCTCCCGCAAGCACCGCGACCTTGTTTAGCAGTTTGAAGTGGACGGCAGCTGTCCGTGTTCCGTTGAGCCAAAATGAGTAACTGGGATCTCGAACGCTCATGTGTGAGACCGAGCTGTAATCTGCAATGAGCTGATTGATGGCTTCAAGGCGATAAAAGTCTTCGAGATTATACAAACCGCCTTTCAAACTGCTGGTGGCAGGATCCTTAGGTTGAATGTCCGAAAGGGATCCCGTGCTGATACTGTGATCGCTGACACCGCCGTCTTCATTGTTGCTGAGTGTTCGTAGGTGCCTATGTCTCGATGAGGATGCAACAGCATCAGGCACACCAAGGCTACGGGAATCCTTTCCTACTCTTGCTTGACGCTCAGCCACTGATGGGGATTCCACCATGCTGAACCGACGAACTGCAACACCACGGCTCTGTTGCCACAGCATGCGGCCCAAGGATTGATAGAATGGCAGACTAGATGTCTTTGACGGTTGCGGCTTTTGATCTTTCTTCTCCTTTTTGACTTTGGCAGGTCTGAGTTTGGTGATGTTGGATACGATGCTCTCTCCTTGGACCTGTACAGTACATTTGGGATGTAGACCGACCGTCGTCTCTGTAACTTCTGTAAACATGATCTTTTCCTGTACTTGTGTGCTAGGGTCCGAAACTGTCCCTATGGCGATGCTCAGGGACTCTTGGATGATAATCGAATCAGGATGGGGACTGGCCATCCGATCAATCTGTGTGGTTGCCATCGTTGTTGGGAGAGTGACGAAAGAGTACCTCTATCTCCGATAATGCTGTATTGTGGGGGTGATATTTGAGTCGAGCCTCAGTCGTGAAGGGGGCAGATTCGGTTATATGCTTTCCAAACCCTGTCCAAGCAAACGCCTACTGCTCCTAGTGTAGGTGGTCATACTCCAAGTGCAGATACAGAATTAGCCTTATGGCTCAACCTACCATTAAGTGACTAGCTTGTCCGTGCTTCACTTCCTCTCCAAAGTACAAGGCTCTGTGTGGTGGCTATGCACATGCTCCGTACGCATTTATAGTAATTTATGGTCCGTGCAACCGCGGCATGCTTTTTCCTTTTGAAGTTATTGGGCAGACGAGGCCCGTGCAGACTGGTCTACCGCGTTCTCGACCTCAATTTTGTGGCTCAATGTGTGGCATTTGGGAACTATTCACTCGTGTGTCTGGGCATTGTTGGACAACTAGAACCATAATGAGAATCGCTACTACAGATTTCAAGCTTTGTATGCCTCTGCATACTGACGAGCGGACAAAAGTGAACTAATCTGTGCGGTACTCCAAAAGCACTCCAAATCAAGCAGTCTCCGAATCCTTGAGATGTCTCGTCAGCCATTCGAGGATGTTGAGGTGCGTTTGTGTTTCCCGGTGGTCTCCAAAAATCGGCCAGATTAGTGGTGCTTCATGAGGCTCGTTGTCTGCCAATTTGTAGGTAATGTTCGTGTTGTGGAACTAAAATCGTCATCAGCAGAGCCAGGGAAGATTTCGTTCGAGACACTGACTTGGAGCGTTTTCACCCATTCCTCGATACCATCGAGCAGGACTTCATTTGAACCTGCCGTCACAAGGACGTCCTTAACGGGTAGCCCACTCCATTGAATGGGCGAGGCCAAGGCCGGTTCATTATATGGCGAAGCTGGCTGTGTGTTGACGTACATGTCACTCCAGCGTTTCTCTGTTTCCGCTTCCAGGTAATCTTTGTTTCGGTTGCTCTTGAAACTAGGCAGTGCTGTATTGAAATTGACCCAAGGTGAAATCAGGATCGCTGATTTGAATTTTTCCAGACTCAATACTTCCGGTAGAGGAGATGCCAAAGTTGAAGGTAATTTGGCATGGAGCAAGGCAGTTGCAACAAGATTACCTCCCGCAGAGTCGCCTCCAAGTATGATCTGCCCCGGACGGCGGCCTAGATCTGTAATTACATATCGAATCGAATTGATGGCTTCCTGGAATTGACAGGGAAACACCGAGTAGGGCATCAATGGGTAGACCACAAACAGGACGCCCAACGATATCCCTGCTGCTTGGAGTTGCGCGATAATCGTGTCCCAGAGTAAAAGGTGGCCATCATTGCCCCCAAATGCAAAACCTCCTCCTGGATAAGTCAGAACCGGCCGAGAATCAATGTGGAGGCTCTTGACCGTGGAAGTAGATCATAACATAATCTGCACTGGAATTCCCGAGCCAAAGCCCTTCTGTAAACTGAGAAATAGAGACAATGGTTGTGGGATATTGGTTTTTTGAGCACCATTTTTCATAGACCTTGATGAATGATGGACTGACCCATCTGTGAGCGCAGGGTTTAGTATACGGGAAGCAAACCGAGTTGAGAAGCCTTACTGCGCCTGTGCTATACTTAACCTCCGAGTAACCTATGTGCTCGTCAGTAAGAAAGACTTCCAGCCCAGACACACATACCTGACGAACGAGAGCGTGAATGATGTGGTGGTAGTAGGTATCCGCTCCAGAAGATGGATGTAGAGGCCACTTAATGCCAGCGTAAAATGCCGCAAGTGCTGAATCTACTTAGCGGTCACACAAAATGTCCCTTTCGCAAGACTGACCTATGGACAAGAATGCTGGTACGAGATCGAGCTTCTCGGACCAAGTTAGCTTAGGCTGATCTGCTGTCATGTCAGAAACCTGGACCTGGTGGGATGTGGGGGAAGAGGGCCGCTCGAGGTGAGGACGAAGAAGAATTGCCAAGGTCTCTCGCCAGGAAGATCTCAAAGAAAACCTGAGGGCTAGAGGACGTTGCTTTCAAGGAATCTGGCTAGCTGACCCCCGCAACAGCACATGAAACGGCTGGAACGTGTTCCTAAACAATAACATGGTGAACGGGCCATGTAAGTGACGAGAGCTCCGGCCACATGAGCGTCTGTGCCCCAGCGTGGCAATGTGATATCGAGCACTGTTACCAGCGACCAAATTTAGGGCTGACGCTTGTACCACGGCTGGGCCTTTGCAATCGCCGTTGTCCGATGCTTGGAGGTAGTCTCGTGCCTTTTTTTGGTCTTCCGTACGATTTAAGCAGATGGTGGTGTGGACTGAATGTTTTCGTGTTCCCGGCATCCAGAACACCCTTATCACGCTCACTGGCTTCTGTATGAACGGCTTTGATCCTGTCCACGACGAGAAGAAGAAATCTAAGCGTTACTGTGGCCCCTTGATCGTGCCGGACAGAAATTATAGTACGGAAACGGGCCAATCGGACGAAAGTTAGCCAGCTCCATGGGGGAATTTTAGTTGTGATTTGTCTTCGGTCAGCATCTCCAGGATAACACGGTTAGTTTTTGATCCCATAACAAAAACTTGTTCAAGCGTCAGCGCCCCCAGTGTTTCTCCTTTGTCAACGGAGCTTTTGGTGCAGACTAGAAGTTAAAAGCAGGACGAAAAGAGATACGGGGATAGCCTTAAAGGTGGAGTTAATTTTTTCCCGGAACACATAAGCATGACGGAAGTCCGCGGCACCATTTCTGGCTATAACGCATGAACCTAAACACTGTCGTTGCAAGTGATGTTGTGGTGGCCCAAGATGGGTAGGCAAATGCTTCTTCAGCCACACACTGGTTTGAGTACATGAGAGTCTAGCATCTAGAAATTAAGCTTACCAGAATATGAGCCCGGACAAACTACCATAATGCAGCTAATAAGCGAACTGCTCAAGGTTCCAATTGGTGTGCCGTTTTGTTTCCCTACATGTACAGCTAGCGGGTGCATCTTCGGTCCCAAGCACTCGAGAGGGTTTCACCGTGGTCCAGGTCTGGGTTCTGAGGGCAATGAAGGCTACATACAATCTTCTCGCTTGCAGCCACAAATCTGTGTCTGGAGCCCTAGCATAACAATGAAATGACCGCTTTTGCCTCTGTATCATACTGGAATCTTAACAGCAAGTCGGAAAGGCTGGATTACTCGACACTTCAATCAATGTAGCAAGTGAGCGGAAGAGAGATATCATACCGAAATTGTTATTATCAGGGCTGTAGGGCTATTTGAAACTATGACACCAGACTGATTCTCATCACCATTGCTGCTATCCCGTGCAACATCATCGTAAGGGAAAGCATAACCTCGACCGTCCTTCTCCAGCTCATGGACTAGCTTGCTGTACCAATTTGTCGTCTCCGTGCTGTAGTAGTATTTTGGGGCTACTCCATTGGGTTGATTATTGCCCCCGTTCAGAAGAAGGGTAGAACGGTGGAAGGCGGCACACAGCCGGGGGACAACCGCCTTCTGCACACCTGTGGCCGAAGAGCCGAGGGCGAACGGGCCGCTCGCACAGCTGAAGATGTCCGCTGCCGAAGGCTTTGCAAATGTTGCACTCGAACCTTTCTCATCCTTGCAGATGAGATTGCTGTTGCTGACTGTGCATGAAATGTTGCCCAGGTGCGCAGCCTGGCTGTCGATTATCAAAGGTTGACTGGAGTAGGTGGACCAAACTTGGTCAACATAAGAATCGTAGTAGCCGGCAAAGGCATTCGAATTCTTATTGTTGATATAGTCGGCGGGCGCCAGGACGTGACCGGGTTTTCCATTAGGGGCAGCGACGCAAAGCTCATCCCAAGGGTATCCATCTTTTGACGCCTGGGACGTCAAGTTTTGGCAGAGAGTCTCGACAGCGTTCTCTTCCAGGCCGGGGACTGTTTCCGTGCCAATATCTGCGCCCTGGAGAGTAATTGCCAGGTTCATGCCGACGAAGTCGACATAGGTGCTGTCTACCCAGATGAGGCCTTCCGCCGTGTATGTGAGCTCGACAAAGCCCCAATCGGTGATATTACCCGCAGGTCCGTTGATTGAAGGCTCGACCAAAGAAGGCCCCGCGGAGGTCATGACAACCGAAAACTGCAGACTTCCCTGGGCGAGCCATATTCTTCCCGCTTCCAGATATCTTGGCATTGTGATAGTAGTCGATGGGCCCGAGCCGGACACCGGTATTGTGATCTTGTCAGCAGAGATTACCGTTGGGACTGACGAAGAGATGTCCGTCGGTGGATAGTACCACTGTCCATTCGGCTGTAATAAGACGAGCCGTCCATTTGCGTCCTTGCCGGTCAGGTATAGATTCACTCCCTGTCCTTGGTATTTGACAGTAATTGGCAATCCACTTCCAGACACAGCCGTGGCAGATGCGGAGGCAAGGGTCGTACTAGATGAGTTGGTGAGTGGCAAAGAAGACGTGGTGGTGATGGGTCGAATGGAGCTGGTGGTTAAAGCCCGGAGAGATGTGGTGTTGGTAGCGTTCTGAGTCGATGGGGTGGTAAGAGCAGCAGTGGGTGTGGTGGTGCTGATCGGAGAGGACAATGCAGTAGCCAGCCCAACTGTTGAAGAGCTGATTCCAGTGGGACAGCCGGTCACAGCCTCGAAGCATGACGATATCGTAACTTCCTCCCAGTACGTGACGGTGTTGATTGGGCCTGTATAGAGAGCCAATGGTAAGGTAGAGCTTCCGGGTATCAAGGACGACAAGAACAACAACGGTAGGAAAGCGGCTGCGTGAGGCATATTTGGTTGTTCTCGTTGCGAAATAGCTGGAATAGGAATGTCTTGTATGAAGATGTATTGCATGGAGTCTCACTTACCACGGCGAGCATCATTCTTTAATATAGCATTGAAAATAAACCTCAGGAGGTGTGGCTAGCAGTTCTCAGCAATGGGCTTGTATATCTCAAATGGCCGGGTCAATATTTCCGAGGCTGGCAAGGATGACAGAGAGGTCGAACAAAACTCTCTTTGTTTACCAGCCTTATGGACAGTAGGGCTTAGACCGCTAGGGACCGAGCTCGCTTATCTCTGGCCCGCTTTGGGGTCGTTGCGGAGGAGCACAGACCCACATAAGTCCGATTTGCATCTTGAATCATCGATCCTGGCTCTTTTTGCTACTACTATCTGAGTCCTCAAATTTTGTTTTGCGTCCCTTCAATAGAAAAGAAATCTATTCGCTACTATCTTGTTCTCAGCAAGGAAACTCATAGCCAGTGCAGTGGCAAGCATGTATGTATTCTTTGGGTTGGGCATGAATGAGAGTCTGCGGACATGGCCAGTGCTGAAGCACGCTACGTTGGCACTAGGTCTGTTCCCGACGTCTTCCCTCTCAGAGCACCGAAACAAAGTTCTGCATCGAGGGCGATTAGGTTTCGTTAATCTCAGCAACGGTGAGCCACGCTGTCGGTCCTGCAACCAGCCCCCAAACATTTCCAACCACTTGGTTCCTCCACCATTCTAAACACTTCTTATCAGGAGAGTCGGATAGGCGACACTTGGTTCGCTAAGGCAGGTATCGTTAGCTTGGAGCGTTCCGGTGGAAAATTCCGTTCCCACTCCGATATAAAATACGGGATTTTTTATCTCCAGTAGAAAGAGCAGAGCTTCAGACGAAGTGGGAATTGCTTCTCTTTTTGTCCACAAGGGTGAGTTAATCCCCTGAGGGTCCATTCATGGGCAAGACTTGCGTATTAGATATATCTGTGTCCAGGCCCTCGTCCTACGGCGATACTGCGTGAACTGCAGCTCAGCATGATATTACTCAGGTCGACTTCCATGGAGATGCGCGACACCAAAGCAGCCTCTCGGTTTACCACTGACATCCTCAGCACTGACTTGAGAGTGAAGACGAGCTCAAATGTGGAATATCTTCTTAACGGAGTATCTGTCCATTGCTCTGGCTCTCGCACCCGGCCCCCAACCCGATGTGAATCTGGCCAAGCCACGTGCCCCCAGATGCTGCCAGTTTTCTATACCAGCCATGCATCTGCTGGTGGGAAGGGTTACCGGACTGACGCTACAATGTTCTCCAACCTTGATAGCTGTCGCATGGATCGTCTAGTGATTGACGCAAGGCCATGGACTTTCGCTGTCCCTGCGATCACCAATCATAACCCAAGTGTCCTGTCATCGGGCTGGGTCTCTAACGCCTTGGTAAACCCTCTCCGCGATCTTTAACTTCGGGAAATAGGGAAGGCGGGACGAGATGAGGCCCGTAGAACGGATCTAACCACGGACCACTAGTGACTTCATCATTCATAATGTCAGTTTGCTTGTTGACGGCCCTGTTCAGTTCATAGGTTGGGGTGCCGAAGTGGTCTTGAAGCTTCATTCTGTCAGTAGAAGAGGGATGCTCTGCATCATGATACAAGGGCGCAATTAATTTCATTGCTAGACCCAATGACGAACGCCTCCCGTACGGTCGCTCTCCTTAACGTGGGATGTAGTCGAAGTATCGGATGGTAGATAAAAGATGCGCCGACTAGAATCACGATCTTAGTAGTCCTTAAGTTGGGCTCTGAGGTGGGTTGTTACAGTGTGGTTGCGAAACTTCTGGATGAAGTACCTTTGGTGTTGACAGCTGTCAGCTCTGATGTGAAATGCACAGACTGGATCGACCGATTCTTGACCTTCGATTCTGTAAGATCTAGAATGCCATTATCTGACAGAGGTTTGTCTCAGGGAAGAGCCTCTCCATGCTCCAAGTTGCATGTGGTTTTGAGCAGAGCTCGTTGCAAAGTCGGAAATCCTAGCCCCCCGAATTTGTAATCCAGCCGTACGCTAAAGTTCCGGCCGATTCTCCTCGGATTCTCCTCTCCATGGGAAAGCGTTGACAAATTCCGAAAGTCGACAACCTCAAGAACTACGATGTTTACTCATATGGGACTGGAAGGCTCGCGTCGCCTCAAACTCATCACTCATATACGACTAATACCCGCGGCCCACCCGACTCCCACCCGAATGCCCACCCCGGGCCCACCCGAGGCTCAGCTAGTTCTGCATGGGATTCCTATAAACAATACTCATAACAAGTTCTGGCATACTTCACTCTGGGAATGAGAGCGAGATCGAAGAAGCAAAAAGCTCCTTGTTCTTGTGCCAATTCGCAAAATACACAATCACCACCACCATCATTGCTACTACCATGTCGCCTCCTCCTGCTCCAACGTACATCCGATCTCTTCTTGGTATCCCAGACACGGTTCCAAGCGTGACGGATAGCGTGCTGATCATTATTGATGCGCAGAATGAGTAAGGAGAGAATCCCATACCATACCAGAAATTGGCGATTCTTGTGCGGTACCCAGTTAGCCACTGACAAAATACGCAGATATGCGAATGGTCTGTTACAAGTCGCGGATGTCGACTCTTCTCGAAAGGTCATACACAAGCTCCTCCAAAAGTACCGAGACGCCAAGGCACATGTTGTGCACGTAGTACATGACGCTCCAGCAGGAGCACCAATCTTTACTCCCAACACGCCGCTTGCAGAAATTATCGATGAATTGCAGCCACTGTCCGACGAACCGGTAAGTGCTTCCTGCCACGCCTGGGGAGGCTAGAAAGAGTAAAGCCTTCTAGAAAGGAGGGGTCATCAAACCAAGATGTTTCGAGGCCTGAGCTGGACTGAGCTGGACTTTGATGTGCTGATTTTCCATTATTATTGCCGCCAAACATAGGTCGTTCATAAGGTCCACGCGACTGCTTTCACAGGCACAACGCTGCAGAACGTTCTGAGCGAGTTGGGCGCAAAGAATCTCGTCCTGACCGGTAAGTTGCAGGCCCATTCAAAACGCCTCCATCTTCTCTCGGTCGTGTGGAAACTCCCCTGTAAGATAGATTATGCTAATTTTCGCCCTGTCAAGGTTACATGGTAAGTTGAATCTGACTGCCTCTGTGTGCAGTTGGGCTCCCTATGGCTCTTCAAGAATTAGGCTTCTGACCGTTGGAATCACTGTACGCGCGCGTCAGGCACACAACTGCATCTCGGCAACCGCCAGAGCCGGCGCAGAGCTGGGCTACAATGTCTACGTTGTCAGAGACGCCGTCGGTGACAGACATCTTCCAGGAATTGATGCCGAGTTGCTGGTCAAGGTGAGAGAGATCTTCTTTATCATGCGTCAGCTCTGAGCTACAACAGCGATTCTTTATACTCTTCCCGCCGCAGCTGACGTATGCGCTTTTGCAGGTGTCCCTGGCAGAGCTGGCTGATGTGGTTGCAACGATTGTCGAGTCGAAAGATATTTGAATGGTTCAAATGGTTTCTAGTCTGCGAGTAGACAGATAGATAACGCCAGGATCTCCAATTCAAGAGACTACTCCCTCCCGTGCACAAACCTGATATTATTTGCGAGAGTCTCGTGCTCCAGAATCTGTCTCTCCAGGTGACCCGGAATGAGTGAGACACGCATTTTTGTTAAAGTTATGAGATCGAAACAAAAACGAACAAAGAGCTCCGTGTATCGAAGGTGGGGGAGCAAAACGAAGATTCAAAGAATTTCTGTTGAATCTACCTAAATTTAAGGAACGTGATAGCTCTACAGTGTAACGGAAAGGTGGTGGTTGGCATCAAGGTGGCTGGGATGCACTCACTGTACGGACACTCAGCGGCGAATCTTAAAGTCTTCCCCATCCATATTTGTTTCCAGGTCTGATCTTGGTCTGAATCCTGACGAGGCGATCTCGAGAGCGGTCTGCCGGCCTTAAGGCAAGCGTAGATCATCCCGAGCAAGGCAGGGAGCATGCAGGGTTCATAATCTGGTCCCTTGAATTTCCAATTTTCAGCAATTCGTACGCTTAGAGACGCCGAGTTCCATGCGCTTGACTCGCTTATTGTTGCCAGAGGGGCAGGACGACTTTTGGGACCAGGATGCTGCGTGAAAAGAGCGGCGCGGCCTCCGGCCTGATGCATTTCGGGAGGGCCGAAAAACGCGCAAACGATAAGATGAGATCTGGAATTTTACATGTCCGAGTGCTCTAGAGGTCACTCTTAGGAAGTCCTTTAACAAGCTCCACTGCAACAGTACACTTTCGTTCTTTGCTCAATACCTCAAATAATGTCGAAATGACACCTTCCGAGCCGACCAGATAGATTTGAGAAACATACGCTCGGCAAATTAGTGACAGTGCTCGCGTCGGGTTCTCTGCCAATAGAAGCCAGAGTCCAACACATAGTTCACAAAGACGACATAAGAGAAGCGAAAGCACACACATGGTCCAGCCAGCAGAGGAGCAGCTCGATGCCTCACATGATTAGGTCTCTGTCCAACTCTCGTGTAGGGTTCGTAGATCCACCTTTCCCCTCGGCCGCAAATACCTCGTCAGATCTTCTTGACAGCCGTCCACTTCCTTGCGTGTGTATCCATTGCCAAAATACTCGAATCGGTTACCCAAGGCACCACGCTGACGGTGGAAAACAAAGTCCTCCCACCGCGGTTCCCGGGATATGTCCCATTTGTGGTGTCCGGTGCCCGGCCAAGACACAGTGACGCGCGTGCTACCCTTACCAAGCTTCCACCAGCTGCTGCACGAATCCGTCGACACCTTGTCGGCAAAGAAGCCGTTGACTACAGCGTCAAACTCATCGGTGGCATCTTGGCTCGGCTCGAGCGCTGAGTACGACTGTGACTGAATCTTGCGGATACAGCGTGCAATATACGTTGCCGTCTGCTCGCATTGGACGGGGACAGTTCCTCCGAGAGACGTCCCTTGAACTTGAAGCACGAAGAACATGTTGGGGAACCCGGGGGTCATGACGCCAAAGTACGACTTGGGATACCCTATCTTGCCGTGCGGACTCCACAGGCTCTCCAGCGTGACGCTGTCCTGGTCGATAATGGGGTACCTGGGTACGGTAAATTCGGGAAATCCTGTCGCCGCGATGATGACGTCCACTTTGTGTTCTTGCCCGTCGGCTGTGACGAGGCCGGACGTGGTCGCGCGGACGATGCTGTCCATCACGTACGTGACTTTGGGGATGGCCACAGCTTCCAGATATCCTGGTGCTGGAGTGAGGCGCTTGCACCCTGGGGCATAAGCAGGCACGAGCTTTGAGAGGAGCTCTTGATCATGGTTGACGCGCTCCGACATCAAGTCGGTCAACTACTTTCTTAACGCTGCGTTTGCGTCGCTGCCGGTCTTGTATGCTTCGAAGCCGCTGTGGAACTTGAGGTCAAGATTTCTCCGGTACGTCAAATGTGCTTCGACCTCAGATTCGAAATTTTCCAACTCTTTTTGCGAGTACTGGTATCCGCCAGGATTGTCCGCCGCCGCTACCAAGAGATCGCCTCGGAAGTAAGGTGAAACCCAAGTTCTGGACCGAACAAAGTGGTGGATGTGATTGACATCTGGCAAGACGCTAGGCAGACTGACATAGGTTAGCATCATGCAAGAGGGCGAAGGAATGGGTGTGGTATGTCACATTTGCATCCCAGTTGCTCCGTTACCAATTACTGCAACCCTCCTCCCTCTGTACTCTACCGAAGGATCCCAGGTCGCTGTGTGCACCACTGGACCAGCAAAGTCGTCCAGACCAGGTATGTCTGGTAAGGTTGCAGTGTTGAGCCTACCCGTCGCAGAGACGACGAAGTCGGTGTCCAAAACAAATGACGCTCCTCGGTCAAGATCTGTGACCTCCACGCGCCATTGCGCTTGTTTGGGAGACCATTCGGTGCGGGTGACCTCGTGTCGGAATCGAGTATGATCGTGGAGACCGTGTTTTCGTGCAGTTTCGTCGTAGTATGCTTGTATTTCAGGACCACTTGCATAGAACTCAGTCCATTTGGGATTTGGTTCGAACGAGAGCTGGTAAACATGGCTCGGGACATCGCAGCGTACTCCTGGATATCTGTTTTCCCACCATGTCCCACCCTGGGAGTATGAGTTTAGAAGGATGTTCCACCGCAGAAGGATCAAGGGCCCACTGACAAAACCTGGATTTCTGTCAACCACCGTGTACGTCAAATTCGGCACCTTATTCTGTAGAAGAATTGCAGTGGCAATGCCCGCAATACCGGCGCCTATAATAACCACCTTGCAGCAGTTAGCCTTAGTCTTCTTGGGACGTTTCTCTCCTCGAGCCGTACCAAGACCGTTCTGGTAGGATTGTACGGGACATCCTCTGGAACATACCGCCCGAGGCTAGGTTCTGGTTTGGATATCATGGTCTACTTATCGAGGAGGCCTCCCGAAGCTCAAGGGTCTTATCCAGCACCGACAAATACACACATACAGCTTCATTCTCCTTAATATACGTGCCACGCGATATCAGCATGATCAGAGCAAGATTCAGGACCTATCTCACGCTCGGCAGACCAAATATGGCGTGATGGTACCTGGTCGGTGGATGCCTAGCACTTGCTACTGGAAGATTTCGGCTGGGAGGGTGGTTTTTGTAGCATACTCCCACCCACGCCCCCCACCCGACATCTGCGGGTCGGGTGGGAGACGCCTATTTGAGAATCACCAAACTTTCCAGTCTCTTCCCTGGCTGTGAGTTATTTTTTGTCTTCAAGGAATATTCTCATGGCGTGTGTGGAGCTATCCCAGAGATCAAGTCCGAGCCGACATCTGGCGGAAAGCTGATAAGATATCTTGGGACGATTGTGCAAGGCTTTACAAGAATGGCATCATCATACGCATATAGAGAGTAGTAGTGAATGTGTAGTCACTGATCTAGTATAAAGATGGCCGCCTCAACCGCTGGATGGCTTCGCACGATAAAATCCTGCCGCACAAACGACCAGACAGTTCGAGAAACATGTCGCCCGAAGTTTCGTTTTCCAAGAATGCCGAGGCATCCGTCAATGCCAAAGGCGACTCCTTGACTGAAGTATCGGTACATGGGCCGAAACCAAATATCGTTGACCCGTCCAGCAGGCGCAGCATCCTCAAATGGTATCATCCTGAAGATGGGCCGGAGGAGAGGAGGCTCATCCTCAAGCTCGACTTGTCTATTTTGACTTTTGCCTGCATTGGGTTCTGGGTATGTCTCGAGAGTACGGGATCATACCTCCCTCTAACGCGAAACCCCAGTGCCTGTATATTGATCGGGGGATGTTCACAAACGCATACATCAGTGGAGCGAAGGAGGACCTGAAGTTCTTCGGCAACCAATTCGTGCAAATGAATTCGATTTTTCTGGTGGGATATGCGATGTAAGACAGGCCATGGGACAAGGAAGGAATTCATGGAGTTATGAGCTGACTGCTGCGCAGCTCAATCATCCCATTGACAATACTCAACACCCGCCTCCCGCCACAGCATGTCATCCCCATCTGTATGCTACTCTGGGGCGCGTTTACCTGTTTATGCGGGCGGGCAGAGTCCTTTGGTGAGCTTGCAGCATACCGATTTTTCGTCGGATTAGCAGAAGGTGAATTCAGCACCATGCACTGGCAACTGCATAGCCAAGGACAGTTCGTGCTGACCGAGAATTGAAAATGCTTTCTTCCCCTCCATACATTGGATTTTCGGAAGCTGGTAAGTAACCAGACGGTAGATGAATATGAACGAGCTCTGCTAAGGGCAATCCAAGGTACCGCCCGGACGAGATTGCTCGAAGAGCAGGCCTCTTCTACCTCGCAGCCGCCATTGGTACCTTCTCCACAGGGTTTCTGGCTGCAAGGATATTTGCAAACCTCGATGGTGCCCTCGGTCGGGCAGGCTGGCGTTGGATGTTCCTGATTGCTGGAATTGTGACCTTGCCAGTGGCCATCTTCGGATACATAACCTTTCCAGGAACTCCAGACAACCCCAAGAAGTGGCTCTTCACGGATACAGAGCTCGCGCTTAGCAAGGCGAGAATGATTGCAGTTGGAAGGCGGTCCAGGCAATCGTTGTCGCTCAATCGTGCCTCGCTGAAACACTTCCTTGGCCGTTGGCATTTTTGGGTCCTCGTTACTTGGAGTGTCATTTTCCAGCAAGGGTACCTAACTTGGAGTCAAGGCGCATACACTCTTTGGATCAAGAGTCAAAAACGATACACCACAGTCGAGGTGAACAACTTGACTACAGTTGCTCCGTGCACGGCCATTCTCTTCGTAGTCACGTTCGCGTGGCTTAGCGATCGCTACGGCCACAGAGCGACGCTTCCGATCTTCGGGTTTGCACACCTTATTGAGTTTCTTGGTCAACTGGCCTTTGTAGCCTATGATCATACATCTGTTGGATACAAATGGTTTGGCGTGGCTGTATCGCAGGTCACAAACGCAACAGTGCCCATCATGTATTCCTGGGCAAACTTGATTTGCGCGAGTGATGCCGAAGAACGTGCCTTTGTCCTGAGCTCTATGCTTGCATTTGCGATGGCCTTCAACAGTTGGGTCCCAATTGTGCTGTTGCCCACCGTTGAGGCGCCGCGCTTCTTCAAAGGCTATGTTGAGGGACTCATTGCGCAGCCAGTGGCGTTTGCATTGGCTGTCCTGGTGTATTATCTTGACAGGGAGCGCCGCCGAGCACGGCCGGGCCGGGCAGACAACGCGTGAGACTAGAATTCCCATAAACGGTCATGGATCACGACGAGTTCGTCAAGAGTTTTCCACGACAATGTGGGAATGATCCTCACCAACGGTTTTCGGGCTGTGTGCTTAGACGTACGTTTCATAAAATTTGACAATTCCAAATTGGATTCATGACGAGTACATCCGCACGTAGTTACGGAAGACCCAGGAGATACGCATTCATCATCTCTTGATTGGTGTCATCCCAGGAGAAATTGCCCAGATCGTCGCTCCATAGTGAGGGCCAGGCATCGTCGAGCTGGCCGAAGTCAAAGTCAGTATCGACGTGGCTGAATGGTTGATCAGTAACGTGCTTGGCTGAGGTTGAGGCTGGCGGGTGTTGTCCTGAATCCTCCGGCCTGTGCTGAGGCTTTGTGCAATTAACATGTTGCGACAATTGGTTTCTCAGAATGGAAAGCCCTGATCCGCACACAATTAGCCAAGTGAAACAGTGTCGGTTGCTTATAGACTGACCCTCAGCAAAGTCTGTATCTTGCCCAATCTTCAGATATTCTTGTTCAGCAACTTCCGAAAAACTCGTAGCCAGCTAAACGCACAAGATGTCAGCACGCTCGCCATTTTCGAGAACAGTCTACTTACCGATAGGTCGGAGCTATTCATCAAGCTAGAAGGAAGCCTGGTTACATAGATCGATAGAACCAATATAGCAAGGGTCATTTGGCTCAATGTGATCAGGCGAGATGGTGTGCTGTATAGCCGCATGTCGCTCAAGGCTTTCAAGATCGATCGAGCCGAAGCCGCTGACAAGCATAACCCATATCTCAGTCTAGTTCGCCAGGGCGTTCCTGCACAGAGTCGATTGACACTCTTCCGTAGCCATGCGGTGGCCGACATCAGAGCTGGTCGATGGAGTGCAATGAAGCTTGATTCCGATTAGTATGGGCGGGGCAGCACTGGTAGCCACATCTGAAGATACGGACCTCTGATGATACTGTAAAGTCACGTACGTCGCGAGGTGGAATTCTTCCGCGTCACAAAAGATATCTCTTCCAGGTCTGACTTGCAATGAGCACCATGCAAGAAGAGAAAATATGGAAGACGTACCTGACTTCTTCTGGGAATGTGGCGGCAAAGTCCAGCAACGCCCTGTCTAGGCGCCCCATCTCATGGAGGATTTCTTTTGTTTTGCGACCCTGTTTCGTATAGTGATACAACTCGGCGATCTGAGTTTGGATCCGAGAGAGTCGAATCAAAGCACCGAAGTAGTTGTGCGAAGATCCCGACGGAAGCAGAGTTAGTATTGGCTGTGGCAGACTTTGGTCACATTCGCCATCGCGAATGGCAGAGGGCCGGCCAGTCTCCATCTCCATGGCCCTCTCTAGGATATAAGCGGTCCACCATATTCGTGAGTTCAGGTCAGCAGCCAGGGTGCCGTCGACCGGCGATGGACATTCTTTTGCGTGGAAGGATTGCCTATGGAGGCCAACTGCCTGTGCTATCCGGATGGCTTGTCCTAAAATCTCCCAACTGGCACCGTCTTTGTTCCGGTTCTTCAACACCACAGCCAGCAACAAGAGGGCCTGCACGGAAGCGGTATAAGGCATGGCGACGAGATGAGCATACAGGAAGTAAGCGCCCTCGAGATATGATGTCCCGACATCGGTGAGTTCGCCTGCAAGCTCATCAGCAGAAGAACTGAACAAGGCGTAGAGAATGGCCAGCTGAGGATAATCGGTGGACCCGAGGCTGGCCGGTTGGCGTTCCAGCTTAGGGCGCAGGACTGAGACCAGTTCTAGGACCATGCCGTGGTCGACGACAGGAAAGATCGGATGGATTTTGGAAAAAAAGATCGACAGATACTGGTCAACTATCGGAGGAGGCGGCAGCGGTGGAAGTGTCGTGAGAAATGAAAGCGGGACTTCGGTGGAGTACGCCATGCCTTGTTGAAAATGTGGTAAGATGGGTTTCCAAAAATCCCATCTAGCAAAGAAAAGGTCAAGCCACTGAACCAGCACGTACATGCTGCTGCCGTTGCCGATGAACTGCGATCTCGACCGTGTGTTGTCCGTAATCACAGTGAGATTGGCGCTTCGTCCACTATTGACGGTCGGCGTGGAGCTGACATCTAACCCCGTGTTCGGGCTGGATTCTGATGTGAGTCTACCCTTCGCCCGCCCTCGAGCCTTGGGGTCGTGCTCAGCGGACTCCTCGTGGTTGCTGAAAGGCGCGGTGAAAATCGACGGTAGCGACACATCATGACCGATCAAAGGCGCAAGTAGATTCCCACTGGGAGATGGAGGAGGCGAAGTGGAAGGAGAGTCTGAATTGGCCAGATCTCGCTGGTGGTTGGACGGAGAAACCTGTTGTCTGATTCCTTTTCCACGACGACCAAGGGGCTTCTGTCGGCGACCTATTTGGTCTGGCCTCCGGAGATTGGTCGTAACACACTCAAGACCGCGGGAGTGACAGTTGCGACACGATGGCTGTTCTGCATCGCACTTCAGCTTGTGTGAGCGGCACCAGTTACACGCGGTTGCTAGTCGAGGTTGTCTGGCGGCGGAGTTGGCCATCGATGGTGCTTTGTTCTCAGCGCAGAGTACAGTGCACACGATCTCAGGGTCACAGCCTTCGGGAAACCATGGATCATTCAGATGGTTCGGCGATGGTGAAGCGCTGGGGGGCAGAGTTCCGAGTCTGAATCTAGGCACGTTGTGAATCTGGTCTAAATCACGCAATCCGGGGAAAACGTGGTGCGACGTGATTAGTGACCGACGAGTCAGAACTTATCCAGCTTCCAAGGGTTCCGGGGCACCTCAATCTGTAGACCGTGGGCTTCGAGGTATGCACTGGCCCTTATCAGGGCGCTTTAGATCATAGGCAAAGGCATCAAACTATCTACGTAGGTAGGGTTCGAAGACGCACTGAATCCTTATCCGGGGCGCCTCGACCCTGTGATTGTGGGGGCGAAGGATCGGAAATACTTTTTCCCGGCTGCTACATTGGTCTACATGCTCTAGTAACTCCGTCAATCACGGTAGGAGAAAGCTGCGATACTTACTCAACAACGAAGGCTTCGGCCCCTGCCTAACAGTGTAATGTCACACTGTCGTGTCTTTAGAAGACACCTTCTGGGTTTGGTACAAGACGGTAGAAAAGCTGGTTAGCCCAGGGACCATAGACAGCCTTTCGTAGAGGGCCCTCGAAGAGGTCGCGGATCTGGTCGAGACTGTAGCCGGCATTGATGGCTAACTGCAGTATGACGCGAGCCTGGTCACCTCCGACGTAACCGGATTTGATTCTACGTTTTGTCAGCAACCTGCTCCAAGGAAAGCTTGGAGGAAAATGCTGCTCGGTCACGACACGTTGAGCTGCAGACTGTACTTACATCGGACCTGGGCTAATTCCTGGGACGCCAGCACCAGTTAAGGTTCGTGGCGCTGCGACAACGGGAATTCCACGCGCATACAGCTCGGCGGCGGCTGCTGTTGCTGTAGAGCTGAGCGTGGCTGCTCCAGCGCCGAGAATGACCAGGCCCCTAGAGAACAGTCAGACCTATATTGCACGCACTAGTTATCCTGTGGCACTGCGACTCACTTTGCACCATTTGCGACTGCAGCGTACATGAGAGATGCATCAAAACCCTCTATTCAAAAATTAGCATCGAGGATATCAAACAAACCCCTAGCCCAATTTTGATGAGACTCACGGTGTCCATAGAGAGTGATCACACTCGGCAGGCCCGTTGTGTTGCTGATGTCGAAGTAGGGCCGGCCAGTAGGCAGCGCGGGGTCAAAGTAGTAATACGGCTGACCGGCCAGGAAGACGCCCACATTACCCTGCTCAAGCGACTTGAAAGTGTCAGGCGTGTTGGCATCCAGTTTAGTTGAGTAGTATATACTGGTTAGACGATCGTTTAAGGAGATTAGTCCACCGCGGCCGATAGTATCAGGCGACACCGCAGCGGCAACTGCCTGATAAAAGTTTGCACGGCCATCCGGAGAAGCGTAGGTGTCGGGACGCATGGCAGCAGTAACGATAAAGGGCTTGTTGCACTGAAAGGTCAGGTCAACGCCGAGTGCCGTCTCCGCAAGTGTGTTCGTGCCGTGGATCATGACGGCGGCAGCGATATCAGAGCCTGGCGAACAGACTAGCCTGTTTGCGATCTGCGATACGTTCAGGAAAGTGGATGAGTTTATGTTTGAGCTGCCGCTGGGGGAAGGGATGCTGATATAAGATAGCTGAGCAACCTGAAGCACCTCTGATACATTTGCAACAAGCTCCGGAAAGGTTGGGCCTACACCGCGGCCATAGTTGATGTTGTCGAGGCGACTCCAGTTGGATGCTGACATTAAGGTGGCTGAGAGCGGTCCAAAGACACTTTAGTTTCCAGTTAGCCGAGTGAATTTTGAGTGACTTGCCCCGGGGTGCGGCGGTTGATGATAGTTCTGCTGCTAGACTTACACAACCTTAGGTAATGATGCATTGCTTGAGATATATTCAAGGTTCTGCGCGCCGTCGCTATACGGAGCAGCGAGAGCTCCAGCAGCCAGGCAAATGCCAGCAAGAAGATGAGCGTGCATGGTGGCAGGAGCTTAACTTGGGCGACGTACCACCTGGACAAGAAAAGTAAATGGGAGAGCAGCGCAACTGGCAGGGCACCGGACAGTTGTGCTTGTCGTCTTATACACAATGTCGCCGAGTCCTGTTATCTATTCTCTTTGTAAATCCCTCTACGTAAATCCATGGATCTTACCGCTTTCCTCTAAGAGCGACAAACTATGCCTGTCGTGTCAAAGCTATCGACGATATCCACACGCCGCACGGCACTGGAGGTGCGCTTGGTCTTCATGCAAAGATCAAGCTTCTCGGTCTATATACGCCTCTATGCTAGCCTAGTAAAACCTGTATTGACTGGACCGGAAAGCGATAGCCCAAGAGAATTACCCCACTTGGGAGTAGAATCCAAGGGAATCCAAGGCACTAAGATCCCGAAAATTGCACAGTATCAGTCTGGTGCCTGGCAGTCCTATCCCGTCCACCCCACACTCTTCTACGGATAAGATAACAGAAGCCGGCCATGTGCCGGCCCTATCTCTTTCCCTCTCTTCCGGGGTGCGGTAAAGTCCTCTTGACAAGTCTCCACGGAGGGAAGCGCTTCTCATCTGCTTTGTAAACTGAAGAGCCTCCCTGTTCATGTCATAAGTGAGTATACCTGTCATCTCCTAAAGCACACAAGTCTATTGTGATCATTGTACATAAGGCGCAAGGTATTTGGGCTTGTGTATTAGGGGGTGCGAGCAACAGCAGTCAATACGTCGAGTCGGGCAATTAAGCGCAACCCTTGCCGATGAGTTCTCAATACATTGTGGAGGCGGTATGAGGTTCAATCACTTGACCCGAATAAGCCACTAGTCATCCGATCTGTCGAGTATTGGAGAGAAGAAAGGGCCGTGGATTATGTGTTCAAGTTTGGGTGCTTTGTGAAGACTGCTCTGGATCTGTCCAACCGGTTTTGAAGTGGAAGTCAATGACTGACTATGATTCTCCTCCTTGAGCCTTACAGCCGAAGTTGCCAATCGCCCTGTTTTGCTAGCTCGCTGCGAAATTTCGCCCGGATGGACGCAGTACACCCCTGTTAGAACAGAGCGCCCACGGACTTGCTTAAATCCCCGGAAACCTGACGAGTCTGGGATGACGCTTAGACTAAAGCTAACTCTCGAACACTAGAACATAACCAGAAGATCAAGCTTGCTTTTCGGTTTCTCCTTCCCTTTCTCAGGGGATACAAAAGCCTTGGAGCCACTTTCGAAACAGAAACTCATTCTACGTTGGAGAAATCCAGTCGTCTTGTCCGGAGTCCAAACCGGGATACCGGTCGTTGGGCTCGTGAATGCTTCAAAGTTGATACTGGGCTACAAACAGAGTGAAAATTGTAGAACATAAAGGTTTTGACTGGACATTCCCTAGAATGAAAAAATAATGTCCACTAAGAAAAGAACGTATAATGAATGATGCCACAAACCGCCGTGTGGTAGAATAGTACAACTGAACACTCGTTCAGTTGTGCTCCCCAAGAAATGAAAAACATCAAAGTAATCCGCGCCCAAGCTGTCCTCCCTCCCCTTGACCAATATCCGTTGTATATTGCGCCTTGCTCCCCCTTGTCTCAGAGCCACCGTCGTATGCAACATCCATAATAGGCTTGGCTAGATAACCCTGTTTCCTGCGCATATCCACCTCGTCAAGGCTGATATTTTACACCGCTATTGAAGTCGGGGCCGTCGTAGTAGGAATTATGCGACATCCCGCCACTTATTGGGTAACAGGTTCCCGAGTTATAAAGGAAGCCAATGCACTCACTGTCTTGCCCACATATTTCTGCACAGGCACCGTAATCGGCAGCAGGACCGATGTTTAGGTAGTTTCCATTCCAGTCCTGACCGCAGAGAGTGTTAAATTGCACGCCGGAGCTGGTCGTGAACGGATCGCTTTGGTCTGTGCAAGTTCCTGTCACGGGTTGAAGCTTGTGGCCGAGATCGAAACCAGCTGATCCCTGCGATCCGTTGCTGTCAGAGTATAGCGTGCAGGTTTGCACGGTCTCAGGGTCTGGTTGAAGGGGCGGGTCGGCAGGTAACTCGGTGAACTGGTACTGGGCGTATTGGCACTCTGCAACGCCGGCACATAATTCCATGCAATCGGCGAAGGAGTCGCTGTTTTGAACAGCTCCAATTTGGGTGCCACCAGTCTGAGTGTTGCATTGAAGATCGAACTTGTCGCTATTGGTTGCCGTATACGGATTCGACATGGCTGTGCAGGTTGGGGAATTATTGGCAGTAGTCGTGGTAGTGGTCATGGTGGTAGTTGTTGTTGTCGTGCTCATGGTCGTGCTCGTCGTTGTGGTAGACGTAGGCGGCTTTGCGATCTTGAACCACATATTGTAAGTGTCGCTCTCTGATCTTGTGGATGCGTCTGTAACGGTCTTGAGATTGCATAACCCTGTACCATCAACGATGGGAGTAGACCATCCGGCGCAAGATTCATACGTATCGCATTGAGCGGCGCAACCCTCGTAAGTATCCTGTGAAGTATAGAACAAGTCGTAGCCGTGGACATCAGAATCGGGACAGACATAATAATCATAATCTTCCGTGGAGAATTGATATTCTCCTACTTCACAGTATCCAGGAATCACGGTAGACGTTGGTGTAGCGCTTGTCGTGGTAGTCGTCTGCGTGCTGGTCGTCGTCGTCATCGTCGTCACCGTGGTGGTCTCGCTGGATGACGAACTCGTTGTGGACTCGGTTGTGCTCGATGCTTGGGTCGACGTGGTAGACTCGGATGTGCTCGCAGTCGTGGTGGCCTCACCGGAGGTTGTTGTCTGGCTCGACGTAGCCGTGCTGGTCTCGCTCGATGTAGTGGACGCGTAAGTGCTTGAAGATTGGGTCGATGTAGAAGTGCTGGTTTCGCTGGACGAAGTGACCTGGCTTGATGTGCTACTGGTTGTCTCACTGGACGAGGTGGCCAAAGTAGATGTGGCGGTCTCACTAGTAGATGCTGTGCTGGCGGAAGTGCTTGTGGTTGCTTCCGTTGTCGTGCTGACCACAGAGCTTGTAGGCTGCGATGTCGCGGTCGTTGTCGTTGAAGATGTTGACACTGCCGGAGGAGCTAAAGTTCTGTTAATGTATTTGGCGACTCAACGTGAAAAGTCAATAAACGTACCTCTTTGCACAAGATTGATCGGGTATTCGCAAGTAGACTGGTCAATCACAACATACACCGTGCTACCCAGAAGGCAAAAGCCTCCGGCACCTTCGACCTCGCCGAGACCGGCGGGGAAAGTCCAAAACTGAAATCCAGTTGGTGGAGTACCAGATTTGATGAGCGGTGAATCTTTCGAGTCACTGCGGCTTCCCACGTACTCATCATCTGTCACTAAGAAATCGCCATAAAGAAAGAAGATCGAAGCCGAGCTTTTAGAGTCGGTCAAACCGGCTTGATCCTCGTCGCCAAAGCTGACATAGCCTTGAGTTTCGGCCCTTCGACGTTTTGTTTGACTTAGAGCAGTGACCTCCATCACAAACCCTGAAGGAAAGGGGCTCGACGTCGTCGTAGCAGATGTCATGGTCGAAGTCTCACTGGTCGTTGCGGAGCTGGTGATTCCGGAGGAAATTGACGTGGTGGTGCTGGAAGACGTCTGACTCGCGGAGGATGTCGAGATGACAGAGCTGGTCTGCGAACCGGAGGTAGACGACGATCCAGATGAGGCCGAGGTAGCCGATGTCGATTCTGTGGATGTGCTGATGGCAGAAGACGTTCCTGAGCTAGACACTGTAGCTGTAGTCGTGCTGAGAGCCGACGAAGTCGAGATAGCAGAGCTTGCTGTACTGATACTCGACGACGAGGCCACAGAAGTTGTCCCAGAGGCAGATGAGACAGTCGCTGATGTTGACGACGGGCCTCCTGAGGAGGTTTGAGAGGTTTGACTGTTGCTCGTCGAACTGGCCGAAGTTGTTGTTGAAGATGAAATGGTGTCCAGGACGAGGAAGACAGGGTTGGCACATGCTCCGGGATCAACGAAGGCCGACACGAAGTACCCTGTGCCGTCCAAGCAGAAACCACTTGTTCCTCTCAATTGAGCCAGTCTACCGACAAAGAACCAAGTGTGGAAGCCAGCAGGTAAGTTGGTCGATAGTTTAACCGGGGAGTCTGCCAGCTCAGGGGTACCTAGGAACTTGTTGTTTGAGACAAACGAGTTGTTGTTAGCTCTGAATATTTCGGCGGCGGACTCTGAGCTATCAACCACAATACCATTGTCGTTGGCATTGAAAGAGAGGTACCGAGTTACTATTTCCTGCCTTCGACGTAGACCAGTCGGTGTTGCCTGGACAAGAAGTCTAAAGCCAGCCCCTGTGGTAGTTACTTGGCCTGTGGTGCTAGCTGAGCTTGAGCTGATTGAGCTGGAACTGATTGAGCTTGAGCTGATTGAGCTTGAGCTGATTGAACTGGAACTGGCTGAGCTCGAACTGGCTGAGCTGGAACTGGCTGAGCTGGAACTGGCTGAGCTGGAACTGGCTGAGCTGGAACTGGCTGAGCTGGAACTGGCTGAGCTGGAACTGGCTGAGCTGGA